TCTTAGTGAGTCTCGGCTTATACATTGTAGTATGTGTTATAGACCAAAGGATATAAGAGTGCGAATTTCATCTTATATCTCTATTGAACTTAAACACGTTAAGGATATCCTAAGTGTATTTTGTGGGCTGTAAACATGTATTCTCCCTCTAAGTCTTAAACATAAGCTTTGATATATACATTGGTCGATCAATTGATTGATCCATGGAATCAGACAACTTGTCGACGACATCGCTGGCCAACCACAGCATTGTACGTACGTCAAGCCTTGCATCACCCGGGGTCCGGGCCTAGGACTAGGCTTTGTTCTTCTTCCAACTTTGCCAATCTCTTTCTCTTTTTTTCGAATATGTTTCACAAGCTACTAAATAGTAAGTTTTTTTAAATTTTTCTATTGAAAAGTTGCTTTTAAAAAAATATTAATCAAATTTCTAAAAAAATAAACTAATACCTAATTAATAATTAATTATATACTAATTCTTTGTTGGGTTTTCCGTGTCGAAACCTTGACTCCCGAACTCAGCCCGGAGGTCGACAAGACCAGCCGGGCATACAGTCTTTCTCCCCTTGGTGTGTACGGCGACGCCGGAGGACGAACAACCCTACCGTCCCAGCCGGCGGTGGTAGCTACTCCCTCCGTCCCTAAAAAAACAACCTAATACCGATATGACACATCTTAGTACTACGAATCTGGACATATATATATATATATATATATATATTTGTATTATTAGAAAATATCATATCCAACTCTAGATTCGTTTTTTTGGGACGGAGGGAGAGAGTAGGTGACAAGCTTGCTAGTGCCAACACGCCATGACGCGCGGCAGGCAACCGTATCGTGGTGGTGGCCGGCCGGTCGGTGAGGTCGATCTCGGTGGCAGCGGCAGCGCAGGTTGGCCGGCCGGCCGGGCTCTCCGCCGATGTTGGGGCCGGCCGTGCCGGCCAGGCCGGGGTTCAGCTTGCTTGGCGTCTTGCCCGTCAAAGGCTCAAAGCTTTAGCTAGCTTTGAATAGGTCCATGTACTATGTAGTAGTACGATGCAGCAGAGATGACTTTGTTGTCCTTTGCTAGTGACCGAGATGCTCGAGCTCGACCGGCCATTGGTGCAGGACCAACCAACGGTGTGGCAGCATCGCAGCTAGCCAAGCTCAGCCGCGGGAAAGGAGCAGAGCAGTGCAAGATAAAGTAAGTTGCTGTTCGTTTTTTAAAATAAAGATAAAGTTAGGGGAAAAAACAAAAAAGTTATTAGCGCGTGATTACTGAGGTTTAATTATTTTAAACTTAGAAAAAATCTATTTATCTAATACTATATTAAAAATAACTTGTATATAAAAAATTTATTTCAGACGTGCTAACGAAAATCATGATAAAATTTGTACTCCCTCCATTAAGTGTAGTTGTGTATTTCTATGTCCAACGTTGACCGACCGTTTTATTTGAAATATTTTTATGATTAGTATTTTTATTATTATGAGATAATAAAACATGAATAATATTTTATGTGTGACTTATTTTTTATATTGTTTTAAATATAACGAAAATCAAACGTTATACACGAAAAATACCGTCTCTGCTTATAATAAGACGGATGGAGGATAAGAGAAGAGCCAAAGCATCCATCCATCCGTAGCTGATTGACTGCCTCTCATTCGGCAGCCACATATACTAGTAGTGTACTGCTTGACGATACCAAGGGGGAATTCAATGCGCTTTGGCCGTGACCCACACAGCCGGGGACGACAGGATCAGGGATGAGATCGCCATCCAAATTCAATTCAGTTCGGTCGCGACGTCAACCTGACCGACCGCCGATCGCTCGCTCGCTCGATCGATCGCTGGGATGGCCCAATCACGCGACTCGTCCCCCACAGCCAGCCGCGAGCACGACTCCATTTATTTCCGCTCGCGACGTCTGCGTACCATCCAGCCAACCGCGACACTTGGCTGTGTTCGTTTGGACGTTTTCCAGCGCGCTACAGTAACACGGAAAACGGAACGGTTCATTGACACGTGATTAATTAAGTATTAGCTAATTTTTTTTTAAAAAATGGATTAATTTGATTTTTTTAAGCAACTTTTGTATAGAAACTTTTTGCAAAAAAAGTACACCGTGTAGTAGTTTGAAAAGCGTGCGCGGGGGCAAAACACTGTAGCGCGATGGGAAAACGTCCAAACGAACACAGAGGCAGTCAATCAGCTACGGATGGATGGATGCTTTGGCTCTTCTCTTATGCTCCATCCGTCTTATTATAAGCAGAGACGGTATTTTCCGTGTATAACGTTTGATTTTCGTTATATTTAAAACAATATAAACAATAAGTCACACATAAAATATTATTCATGTTTTATTATCTCATAATAATAAAAATATTAATCATAAAAATATTTCAAATAAAATGGTCGGTCAACGTTGGACATAGAAATACACGATTTTATCATGATTTTCGTTAGCACGTCTGAAATAATTTTTTTATATACAAGTTATTTTTAATATAGTATTAGATAAATAGATTTTTTCTAAGTTTAAAATAATTAAACCTCAGTAATCACGTGCTAATAACTTTTTTGTTTTTTCCCCTAACTTTATCTTTATTTTAAAAAACGAACAGCAACTTACTTTGGTTCACCGATTTTTCCGTTGGTAACCAAGTGGTAAAATTACTATTAAGGGGCGGAGTATTTTTTTCTTGGGAAAATTGGAACAGATAAAATTACCCTTTTTTCTTTTACCAAACGGTTTTTCAAGCCTCCTTACATGTTTTTGTTTTACACTCGACTTCTTTTAGTAACAGATAAAATTTAGCTTCTGCTTCAACATGAGCTACTATTATTTATTAAAAAGTTTTTGGCTTAAAACCAATTGTAAAAACATCTATCGAAGAATGAAGAAAAGAAATGTTGAATAACCACCAAGTCACCAACAATGAGAACACTGTACAACTCTTTCGTACAGCAAATCATTTTAGTTCTGCTAAAAATTTATCGACATTTTTTTTTAAGAAATCACTCGATTTTCCACCGTCCAATTGGTATTAAGATTTTGTGCTAGCGTGAACGTTCCATAAAAAATATCTACTACTCCTGGGCAGCGGGATTAGATCCATTGATCGGATTATTACCAACTGCAAGGCTCTACCAACTGAGCAAGGATGATGTGTTGTCAAGTTAGCCAAAACAACAGCTACAAATTAGTTACACTAAAGTTAAACTGTGAAGATTGGAGTAGAGAAGGCTTCCTTCTGGACTTTTTGTGTGAGTTTCAGGGCTGGCTTTTCAATTGCAATTAATGTAATTAGACTGTAGGTGTAAGTATAGAATAATTAGAGTGTACATTTTTTTAAAGAAAAAAAATAGTATAAGTGTTGACAAGGAGATAGTTCTAGGCCTTGCAGCGTCATGTAGTTTCGAGTTTTTAAGTTGCCCATGTATACTTATTTATTTTAACCTGGACAATACGCTGCTTATAATCTAGGCAGTATGTTGCTTGTTAGATGGTTAAAAAAAATCCGAGCATTTAGAATCATCATCTATATTCTCTATATAGCTAATATCTACTAATTTCTACATTTCAACATACAAGGGTGCCACATCATCACCCACTAGGAATTATCATTATCTAGAGTATTTAAAATCACATGCAAGCATGCTACATCATCACCCACTAATAGTTATTATTATTTAGACTATTTCAAATCTCATGCAAACATGATATAGCATTTATGATTCTGTTATATTTTTAGAAGTCAATATATAGGAAATGTCAAACTATCATCTCCACATCATTTTCATATTATTTAAACATATACATATTTTCTACAATACAACATACATCCGTTCACATATCCCGCAACAGAGCAAGTAAGTGTTATTCCCTCTGTCCCATAATACAAGAGATTTTGAGTTTTTGCTTGCAACATTTGCCCACTCGTCTTATTCAAATTTTTTTGAAATTATTATTTATTTTATTTGTGACTTACTTTATTATCTATAATACTTTAAGTACAACTTTTCGTTTTTTATATTTATAAAAAAATTTGAATAAGACGAGTGGTCAAACGTTATAAACAAAAACTCAAAATCCCTTATATTGTGGGACGGAGGGAGCATCATTTAATCCCCGTCCAAAATTGTAGGGCAGATATTTTTTTTTCACGGCCGACAAAGGTGGGGCAGAGTCTAATTACCTGCTACGTTACAGCCTGCACAAAAAAACTGGACCCAGAGCGTACATGCATACCCCTGTCACGGTGGGGCGCCCCACCCGCTCATCTCATGCAACCCAACAAAAGACCTGAGCGCTGCGCCAATCCAAATATCCAATCCCGGCGCTGCACCGTCCACGCATAAATCCATCATACAAATTCAAGTACGGTGTTCGATTAAAATACATATTTTATTTTGATTTTCTTTACCTTGTTTTTTAAACTGTACATTTTGTATTTAATTTTTTAATATAGAAATTATTTTTAAATAGTAGATAAAAATAATTTTAAACTTAAAATAATTAGGTGCTATTTTTTTTTATTTTACGTGTTTATACTTAATATTTATCTTCATCATATTGAAATAGGAAATGTCGAACCCATAGTTTGGAGGCGAGGATCCTCTATCATAAGCTTTACTTTGTTTAGTTACCAATTTTTTTTTCCAAAAAGGTCGTATCGAATCTTTGTATACATGCATGAAGCATTAAGTATAAATAAATGAAAAAAAATTAATTGCACAGTTTGCATGGAAATCGCGAGACGAATTTTTTGAGCCTAATTAGTCTATGATTAGCCATAAGTGCTACATTAACCCATATGTGGTAATGATGGATTAATTAGGCTCAAAAGATTCGTCTCGCGGTTTACATGCGAGTTATGAAATTAGTTTTTTTATTCATTTCCAAAAACTCCTTCCGACATCCAGTCAAACGTCCGATTTAACATTAAATTAAGGCCATGATATTACTACCGTTATAGTCACCGATATGTAATTCTCACTCTCCTATTGTCTCACACGACGGTATGTATAATGATAGTGCTACTACGATAGAGGATAGAGGATGTGAGCCCCATGGTCCGGACACCCCGCTGGCACCGCTCGTGCACCTATAAATTTGCTTTGCCATCGCGTCGTCGGGATCGTGTACTCGTCGTAGCCACCACACCGCCCACACACCCACACCGCCGGTAGCGAGGCAGCTCACATGGCGGCGACGGCGACGGCGACGGCGGCGCCGGAGGAGGAGGAGGGGAAGAGGGTGATGACGAGGGCGCTGGAGTGGGAAGGGTGCGTGGTGTCGCCGGTGCCGACGGCGACGGCCGACGAGGCGTGGGCTCTGCTGTCGGACTTCCTCGCCTTCCACCGCTGGCACCCGCGCGTCGCCAAGTGCCGCCCCGCCTCGCCGTCGGCCGCGGCGAGCACGGCCGCCGCCCCGCCGGGCTCCGTCGTGCGGTACTGCGAGGGCACGCCGCGCGGCGACGGGGCGCCGCCGGACTGGGCGCACGAGACGCTGCTCGAGCACGACGCCGCGCGCCGCTTCTTCCGCTACGAGATGAACGACAACAACATGGGCTTCGGCGTCTTCGTCGCCACGTTCCGCGTCGTCCCCGACGCTGGCGGCGGCGACGCGGACGCGCCGGGGTGCGAGCTCCGGTGGGAGTTCGAGGGCGACCCCGTGCGCGGCACGCCCAAGGAGGCCCTCGTCGCGCGCCTGCAGGCCGGCCTCGACGGCATGGCGGCGCGCGTGCAGGAGCACCTCATGTCCGCCCGCGCCGCCGACGCCGCCGTCATCGCCGCCGGCGGCGTCGAGGCCGCCGACGAGCTCAACCGGGACAAATACTCTATCGCGGTCTGAGTGTTCGTCCGGTCCGTCGATCGATCGGTACAGTACACCAGTATATGCGCGGTTGCTGGTCAACTTTATACGTGAACTAATTTGGCTGCAAAAACGTATATTGTTCGATGAAAATACACGAACTCTGTCGCCGTCTTCCGTATATATGTACGTACCTACGTATACCTACCTACGTATACGGTATACTGTGTTTGTACGTGCTTGGGGTATGGGAATAAACGTTACTAAGTACTGAAAAAAAAACCAGTCTCTAGCTTGTCTCTCCTCGTGTACTGTTCGATCGTGGCATTATTTGGTTTTGTAATTTAATTTGTAAATTTTATTATATGGAAGTCAATGCAAGGATTAATTTTAATGTTGACTAATTCACATGTACTTTCCTGCATGTGCTTGCCATGTGCTGTGCTTACTATTGGCCGCTGCCATTTTGCCTCCCCTGAGCCCCCTCCGTGGAATCAAGTTAATATGCAGCTGAGTGCTGACGTATGCAATTGAGAACTGTATTTTTTTTTTGGTCTATTTTGTAAGGAGTGTTATGTATTCACGATGTAAAGATTATTTATCTATGAGTTTCATTGACTTTATGAAACATTTTTTTTTACAATATCGTTTCCCTTTTGTTTACTAGGCCTAGAGTTGTGTGTGACTTTGCACAAGCCAGCGCAACATGATTCCGCAAAATTGTATAGGGTGTAAATTAGCTACTGCTCGAAGCTACCCCTTCGTTTATTTTTTTCCAGTCAAATTTAAAAAAACTTTGACCAAGTTTATATACGTGAATCAAACATATTATAAAAGAGAAATTCAATGTTGTATTTAATGAAACTAATTTGGTGTTATAAATGTTGCTATTTTTTATAAACATAGTTAAATATAAAGAAGTTTTATTAAAAAATCAAAACGACTTATAATATGAAACGAAAAGAAGGATTTGCTTTTGAGATGACATCCACGGTGAAAATCAACTTGCATGTCCTCCTTTGCTGGTTAGCTTATATCAGTCGTGGTGAAACTAAAATTTAAAATTTTGATATAAGAATTTATTTTGAAGTTTTTTCCGTCGTACTTTATTCTTCAGTATTATTTTAAAACCACAAATAACACAATATAAAACTTTTACTTATAAGTTATTTTTAAGTTACTTAATTTATCTTATTAGCCGTAGCTCAAACAATTTGAGAGCTTAATTGCGACTAGAGTTATAAGCATTACATGTAAGAGCAAGTTTAATAGTATAGCCAACTACTAGCTTCAAATCATCTATAGCCAATGTAATAGCCAATTCATATAATAGTTGCTTACTATAATATTAATATCTGGTCCTACCTGTCATACACACATTACGTCTTAGAGTCCGTGTTGCAGCTAGCTAGATCTGTAACCCACTGCTTTTCTCTCCCTTCTTTATCTCTTTAAAATATGTTTATAGCTGGCTTATAGCCTGCTATTGTACATGCTTTTACTGTGCTCGTAACGATAAGCATTACCTGTTTTATTAGCAAGATTGGTTCCATGATATCGAGAGATCTCGATTTCAGAAATATCCATATATTTTATCTCATGTTAATTTTTAAAGAAGTTGTGGAGTCGACGAACCCCAGAAGGTACCATAGAAGTTGTGGACCGATCTGGGCATAAGGGGGAAAAAGGTACTACAATGATGGTATTTTTCTTTATCGCTAAGTAGGAATTGCGAGATTGTAGTGTACTAGAGTAGGAGTATTATGAAAAAAAAATGCTAAAAGAAATGCACATGTTGTCCCTGTTATTTTTTTATTCTGGATTTTTCAAGATACTAAATGGTAACGTTTTATAAAAAAAATATATAATATTTTTCTTAAATACTTATCTAAAATAAAATTTTAACTGTGTACTAATTTATTATTCATTCGTTTATGCCTTCAAATAACAATCACACAAATTAAATTATTCATTAACTTTAGCTACCTTAAACAAGGGGGTTAATTGCATTATACTCCATCCATCCCACTGTAGACATTTGTGCACTCATTGATGTTTGTATATCCGGTCGATTTTCATACCCTCGTCAGCTAGGAAATGTGGGCGCCTGTTGACCCCAAGAGTTTCCATGCTGTAATCAAAGAGGATTTGCACATCCATCGCCATCTGCCGTTGTTGATGTATAGTAACCCCAGCCCAAGAAATTGTCCTTATCTCCTCGTGGCAATTGGCACGCCCCATATATGTCATGTGTGTAGAAGAGTCAAAAACCGGTAAGCCGTTACATATTAATTTAGTGACATTTCGGCCATGTGTTTGCATATTTTAAATTTTCCTAGCTACCACTAGTTTTTACTACTATTAGACACGTGTATTAATTAATTTAGACGAATAAATATGTCATACTCCTCCCTCCAGCTCTATAATTCTTGACGTTGAAGCGTTCTGCGTTGTGGCCAGGAGTTCCTATTGTTTGAGCTCGAAAGTGGTGTTTTTGGACTGTTTTGCCCAATGGTGATGTTTCAAACAAGATAAAGCCGCTCATCATTTGCTATTTGGTTGATAAGCCGTAGAACAATGAACGAAGAAATAAGAATATTTTACAATAAAACTTTTATATATTTGTTTTTAGTGATTTACGATTAAAAAACTCAAAATCCACTATAAAATTAAGCTTCAAAAATTCAATTTTTGGCTAGGGTTGATAAGCAAACATATTTACGGCATTCCTTGCACGCTTGAATTAGTGGACATGACTAGAATGAGAGTAAAGAGCACCGATGTCCACTCCGGCAAGTGGAACGAAGAGCGAAGATTAGATTGCCGGGCTCACCAACGACGTTGAGATGTCCACAGAGCAGAGTGAAGATAGGGTTGCTAGGCTCACCAATGGCGACGAATTGAATCTAGTTCTACATGACAAAGATCTATGTTCTTAACCAGCTGAGTGTACCTACACTTTTACCAACAATTGAATAGTACTTTGATCCTTTTTTTTTCTCGCTACTGGCCTCTTGCCTGTGTTTAGTGTTGGACGGAGTTTTGAACTCATAAGCAACCCGACTCATTGACGGCGCCACTCCGGTATATTTAATAAAGTGCAAGGCAGGGAATAGATAAGGTACATAAGTTAATCACTCATTTAAGACCATATACCTTTTGATAGAGATAGAAAATGTAAACTATTTCTATTACTAAAAAGATAGTCACTCCTGGATAAGTGAGGATTACCTCCGAAGCAACGAGTATTATAGCACTGGAGGGAGTATCATATATTACTCCCTCCGTATTTTAATATATGACACCGTTGACTTTTTAATCAACGTTTGACCACTCGTCTTATTCAAAATTTTTATGCAAATATAAAAATATTTATGTCATGCTTAAAGAACATTTAATGATAAATCAAATCACAATAGAAAAAATATAATTACATAAATTTTTTAAATAAGACGAAAGGTCAAACATTTATCAAAAAGTCAAAGACATCATACATTAAAATATGGAGGGAGTATTCAATTGATTGATGAATAGTCAACTCCCGTTTGCTTTTCCTCTCGTCCGAAAATTAAAGAGACGGCCAGTACCCAGTGTTCTTTGAGATAATAACCGAGTAATTAATTAACCAGCGGAGTACACAGTAGTACAGCACCGTCTGCTCGCCGGAAACGATGGGCCATAGCTAAATTTAGGCGATCAAGAGCAGGTTTAACTGTAAAGGGACTCATATCTTATAATAGAGAGTTATTATATATTACAGATGAGTTATAAGGTTATTTTTATTTTTTCTCCTCTCTCTATCCTTTACTTATATATTTAATATATTTATCTTAAGATATGTGTTTACTTATATATTTAATATATTTATTTTGAAATATGTGAATAGCTAGTTCTTTTTTATTTTTTAAGTTTTCTCTTCTCCTTGTAATTATACCATCCTATTAAACTTACTCTGAACGTGGTTTTGGGTTATAGTTAGGATGTGTACGTGTGCGTGCGTGTGACGGCGACGTGGTTGAAAGAGAGAGAGGGATGGACGGAACGGCACGGAGGACGTGATTTATTGGCGATGGCGGCGTGAGAGGCTGGAGGACGCCCGTGCAGCGACCGCGGCGACGACGGCGACGGCGACGGCCCACGGATCCACCGAAGCCGGCGCCGCAGCGAACATACGGCCGCACCTGCCCGCGCGCACGTCTTATCTGGTTTGCTACGGCCCAAATTATCAGCTGCTGCCGCCGCCGCACTGCGCGCATCCATCATCATCCATGCGCCTCGCCATGCATGCTACACGGTGACGCAAAAGAAGACGGCACCCGACACGGCAAGCAACATGCATGTAGAGCCTCCATCTTGTGATTCTCCCTTTTTCGCTTACGGCAGCAGCATTCTTTTTCCTTTTAAATGTGCAAGGTATGTATATGTATACTGTCGGTCTTAAAAAAGAGGAAAAATTACGAATTACCCTCTCCCCCGAAGTATCGCGGTCGTCCAAATTACACCCCTGAACCACAAAACCAGACATTCTTCACCCCCAACTATGCAAACCGGACGAATTACCCACCTGGACCCAATCCACGGTGGTTTTGGTTTACGTGGCACTCCAGTCAGCATTTTATTTATTAAAAATAGGTGGGCCCCACCTGTCAGTCTCTCTCTCATCTATCTCTTCTCTCCTTCTTCAGACGGCGCGGCGAGGCGAGTCTCTCTCTTTCTCCTCTTTCAGACGGCGCGGCGGCGGCGGCGGCGGAGGAGGAGGCGCGGCGGCGAGGCGAGCGGCGGGGGCGGAGGAGGCGAGGCGACGGCGGCGAGGCGAGCGACGGAAGCGGAGGAGGCGAGGCGGCGGCGGCGGCAAAGGAGGCGCGGCGGCGAGGCAAGCGACGGGAGCGGAGGAGGCGAGGCGGCGGCGGGGGCGGAGGAAGTGCAGCAGCGAGGCGAGTGGCGGGGGCGGAGGAGGCACAGCGGCGAGGCGAGCGACGGGAGCGGAGGAGGCGAGACGGTGGGGGCGGAGGAGGCGAGGCGGTTGGTGGGGGGACGACGTCGCCGCCTTCTCGTCACGCGCCGCCTCCTCGTCTCGCACAGCCGTCTCGCCTCGCGCCGCCAGTCGCCACCGAGCCGCACCCGCCAGCCGCCTCGCCGCCGCTACTGCCTCGCCTCCTCCACCGCCGCGCTCACCTCCTCGCGGCGACGTCGTCCCCCCGCCAGCCGCCTTGCCGCCGCCTCGCCTCGCCTCGTCGCTACCTCCGCCGCTGCCTCCTCTGCCGCGCCGTTGTCGCCGTTTGAAGGAGGAGAGAGAGAGATAGAAGAGAGAGACTGACATGTGGGGTCCACCTATTTTTTAATAAATAAATTGTTGATGGACTGCCACGTAGACCAAAACCACCGCGGATTGGGTTCAGGGGGGTAATTCGTCTGGTTTGCATAGTTGGGGATGAAGAATGTCCGATTTTGTTGTTCAGGGGTGTAATTCGGACAACCGCGATACTTCGGGGGGGGGGGGTAATTCGTACTTTTTCCTTAAAAAAATCAACATAGGCCTCTTCTCCTAAAGTGATTTGAAGGGAGTATTATTTGGATACCCTCTCTAGTCTTTTTCTTTTTCTAAAAAAATAAACGAACTGGCACACAATTGTGATAATTTCTTTAAATATATTAGGAGAGGAAAACAAAATCACATCACCACCACATGCTAGCAGCTCCAAACATATCTATGAAGAAAAGAGCTAGCACCAAGCCGGGCGCCGCTATGCGTGATTGATCGGTGATAGTCTACGAGGGTTGCGAACGCACTGCTGAACCGCAGTTCCTAAACAGTAGTTTCTCGATCATCCTCGCAGAGCAGGGTTGGAAAAGGGAGAGGGCAAGAGAGAAGACGATCCACTCAACCCTCAGCCAACCCAGTGGCGACAACCGACAAAACGTTGAAAACCACATTGAGATAATACCGTGACGGCAGGAAAACAAGATCTCAAAGATGATGCACCCAAGATGGTTATGACGTTGAAGACGCCACCATCATCCGTGAAATGACTAGGCTTTCACCCGGAGAATCTTGTTAGGAGGGAGAGAGCATGAGCTCGACAACACCCAAAAGGGAGGAAACAACGCGACACGTTATCATTGCTGGCCCGAAGAACTCCGATCAAGGCTTTTGCCTATGGTTCCCTTCCCCTAACCTGTTGTTAGCAACCTTGTGTATCCACCACCCAAAAAGCCTATGTCAACATGCAGTCCTGCCACGCCGGCCTTGTCAGCCGAACACTTTCACGTTGCCGGTTGTGCCTGTTGGCCCTGGCGACCACGTCCTCTCAGCATCGGCTTCATGTGCTGCGGGCCTTCAGCTCGTGCCGCCAACGACCGCCTCGCTCTTCTAGCCTCCCGGCCGGTCACATTAACCGTTCTACATGCCGCTAACCTCCTCCTCGTGTGCCACCTGTCACGGCCTCGTGCGCAACCAACCTCCCTTCGCGCTTGCCGCGCCAGCCACCCACATGTGTCATTGCCTAGGACGGCGTCCTCGCATGTGGACCTCCGTCGATGCTTACACGCTGCCCCGTCGCCCCGGGCGTTACGTGACCCCAACTTCTCCACTCCTTGCTGGGCCACCGTGCATCCTCCCCATCACCACCGCTTGGTTTCACTCGCTGAGCCACCAGATCTGACCATGTGAGAACTGGATCCAACGCTAACATGCATATCTGATCACCGACGACCACCACTCAAAACCCTTCCTCCGATATTTGGTAGCACTCGGACCGCTGCCACCAGAAAAGGAGGTACGGTAGAGAGCTCTGGGACCCCCGCCCTTCGCCCGCCGGGCTTTCGGTCGGGTGGCAGTGAGGCGAAAAGGAGGAGGGAAGAGGGTGGCAGCCCGTGCCGCCCTAGGGCCGAACAACACGAGGGCTCTCCCTAGCCTCAAAGGAATGGAACAACCAAACCCTCATGGCGCACATTTGCACGCGCTTCACCAGCTGACCCTTTAGCCCATATGCTTGTAGAGTAGAGCGTCATAAATTCTCACCTAGCTAGACTTGGTCCTCCCACTCCCACTAGCGTGCTGACTACATATATATGATCGGTCAATCGGTGGATGAAATCAAACATGCAACATGTCTTCACCGATGCTCGGCGATCCTATATATCGATCCTATAGACAGACATCGATCCAACCGGTCTCGCTAGCCATCCTCAGCACTGTACCATGGAATCGTCCGGTAATACTCCCTCCTTCTAACTTTTTTAAATATGTTTGACCGTTCGTTTTATTAAAAACTTTTATGAATATTATTTAAAAATTTGAGTAGTAGTAGTATATTTAACAATGAATCAAATGATAGAAAAATAATTAATTATTACTTAAATTTTTTAATAAGACGAACATGTCGATATTTGATGTCGCAATTCCGGTATTTGCATAGTATGGGGATTGTTGGTACTAGGATATATGCGAGACTGAGGTAAAAGAGATGGAGACAGGGATTTTTATACAGGTTCGGGCCCCTGAATTGTCAGGTAATAACCCTACATCCTGTTGGCCGAAGCCGGTCGTTGCTCTTATTCATCATAATCACACCAGTACAATATTTGGGGATAGTCTATCTAACTGTTGTCGACATGACGGTCTGAAGTTCTGACTCGTAGTCGACAACAGGGTAGTCTTCCTCCTCGAATCCGTGCCCGTCGAGATCAGAGATAGCGCTTTCGTCTCTCCTGACAGTATCTGGAGACACCGTAGGGGACTAGCCGTGCTTATCCCTGAAGTCGATATCCGGCGTCTTGTCTTGGCGTATGTTGGCTTCTATATTGATCTTCTGTCTTGATCTATTGTTCCGTGTCTTCTATGGTGGGTGTGTCCCCTCTCCTCCTAGAGGGTCTTGTATTTATACCCATAGGTGTCCCCTTGTCCAAGTAGAACTAGGGAAACCAATATGGATACAATCCGAGTAGTACTTGTCGTTTTCATGTAGAACTCTGGTTGTCTTTCCTTATCCGGAACTCTTTCTATATCCGTAGGTTGTTTCTGTATAGGATATGATATATGGTGAGTCCTGTCGAGATTTAGTCGACTACTATTAGGTATGTGATAGAACAGTCAAACATGTTTAAAAAAAAGTTAATGGCGTCAAATATTTAGATATTTAGAGAGAGGGAATACAACATGAGGTCCGGTAGGAGTCCTGTGGCTGGTTGCCGCTGGGACGTGCTACTCATCTCGGACAAACTAGCTATATTTATAGCGCTAAGATATATCCCGTCACGTATTAAATTTATTTATTTCAGAACAGAGGGACGGAATAGATGACAAACTAGCTCGACCATCTAGAGAACGGACCTGTTTCACCAACCGGCTTGACCGGTATGTAAATATGCATGGGCTAATAGGCCGGAAAAAACTCCGATTCGCCGATCTCATCGGCCCTTGCCAAGCAGAAGCCTAAGGCCGTTTTCTGGATGGGCCGTGATCTCGCTTTCAAAAAGGCTCGTCTGCTCTGCGACACCATTTGACACTTCCACCGGTGGCCGGCGGCCGCCGTCCGCCGCCTCCCGCGATTCGTGTGTCCGACACCTGTGCCACAACCGCGACGTACGAAAGCCAAGCCACCGCCCACAAGTTTTTCGTCAGAGAGTGTGTGGATGAGTACGTGATTTCCACTTGTGTGCCACTATATTTTGAGCCCAGTAGTGGGACTCTGCGGTTTTAAGTACTATTGCTGCGCTCCAGCCCATCCATTGCGTGGTCGGCGTGGGGGCAAATTTCGTTTATATGGTTATCATGATTTTTTTGTGAACGATGACGTTGGTTATCGAGTGATTTGTTAACGATATGATGATGCACTCCACCACCAAAGACTGGTCATATAAAATCGCTGATATCAAAGTGTCATACTACACTTCTTTGTTGCTTGATATCAAAGTGGTGCCCCGATGACTATTTATTCTTGCTTCGTCCCTGCTCGATTGTAAAAGTGAACAAGCTCTAGGTGTAACTCATTTGGCTATATTCCTTACGATGAAACCTGTATATTCGACTTCAAGTCTTTTACTAAGCACGAATACTTATGTTTATGACTAATTTTTTTAATTATGGATGGTGCCTCTGTGATTACTTTGTCATATATGTTTGCTCAATCTACTAGAGACGCTCGAAATGGAACTGCACTAATTTTTTTTTAAGTATAGAAGTCCTATAAAAATCATCGCAAACAAATTACCAAATCAACCTATCATCACCATTATAATGGTAAACTACCTATGTTTCATATTATATATCGTTCTGACTTTTCCATAGTCAAACTTTTCTAAGTTTGACTTAAATTTATAGAAAATTATAGCAATATTATCAACACAAAACAAACATATTATCAAAATATATTCAATAGTAATTTAATGAAACCAAATTGGTGTTGTAGTTATGGCTGTTTTTTTATAAATGATCGAAAAAAAGTCAAAAACAACTTATAATATGAAATAGATGGAGTATTAAAATACGTGGGCATGGTTAGGATGTGTCTACGTATATATGGATGAGTGCGACACACGTACGTGTGTATAAGCATACGTGTATACTATATCGTTTTGCGTAATAAACTTAATGTTGATCTAGATCTTGATCTTTATTTTTAGAGAAAAGAACACCAACTATCAACTATGTACGTGTCGAGAAAATGAAGAAAAAAAATGTGAGTACTTGTGACCAAAGTGACACACACGCTCACTCAGCTCGTCAGCTTCTTCCACGCACGCGTTGACACGTCGGCACGGGAACCATCCTCTATATATCGTCACCAACCTGCTGCACCCGAGCGTCGCAGGTCAACACACGACTGTAGGCACGTGCAACAAGCTAGATGGAGGAGCAGCAGCGGCCGGTGCAGCCCGCCGGCGGCGGCGGCGGCGGTGGCGCGCCGCCAGAAGAGCAGTGGCGCGGCGCCGTGGAGGCGGCGCTCCCGGGAACGCCGGCGTCCGCCGCGTGGCCGCACGTCGCCAGCTTCTACGCCGCGCACCGCTACCTCCCTGGCATCGACGTGTGCGAGCGCGTCGGCGACGGCGGCGAGGATGGTGGCCTCCTCCTCGTCCCCGGGTGCGTCCGGCACGTGGCGTCGAGCGCGGCGGGGCTGTGGGCGCGGGAGGAGCTCCTAGAGGCGCCGGACCACGCGGCGCGGCGCCTCCGGTACGCCGTCGTCGACAGCAACATGGGGTTCGGCCGCTACGTCGCCACGCTCCGCGTCCTCGACGGCGGCAGCGGGTGCCGCATCGCGTGGGCGTTCGAGTGCGACGCCGTGTGCGGCGAGGGGTGGAGCGAGGCGGCGCTGGTGGCGCGGCTCGCCGCCAGCGTGGACGGCATGGCCGAGAGGGTGCAGCAAGCCGTGGCGGCGGAGGCCGAGGCGCGCGCCGGAGAAGAAGAAGAAGACGGAGTCGCTGGGTGACGTCAACGTCGCCATGGCGGGGGCGGCGTCTGGTTCGGCGTGTCTTTGTCGTGTCAGGACGTCGCGCGTGCGTTGCGTGCAAGGTGGCTGATTGATAGAGAGATTTTCTGTCGCTTTTTTTTTTTTACTGTAGTGCTACCATGGATCGATCAGCGGCGGTGATGATCTCTACATGAAATTTATCTCGTGCCACTATTAGGTCGTTTTCATTTTTGCGATAGCTTTTCATGGAAAAATATTATAAGAAAAAAATTGTGTATAAAGTTTTATATAACTCGCACCGCTTAGGTAGTGTTTGGGATGGGAGAGATTTAGTTAGTGTTTGGGATGAGAGAGATTTATTTTATTCCCTCTCAAAAAAAAACATAAGTAACATACTCGTGACAATCTAACATAAAAGAAACATGCAATGATTTATAGAAAAGTTTCTCTTTTTTTTTACGTTCTTAAATAAATATTGCAAAGTATTGTTGCTCCTGGGTAAGTTTATGTTGCTCCTACCTTTTACTTAGGCTGTGTTTGGATCAAGCGGTGAAAATTTTTGTCGTATCATATCGGATATACGGACACATATTTTAAGTATTAAACGCCTGTAAACTGCCAGGCGAATTTATTGAGCCTAATTAATCCATCATTAGTAAATGTTTACTGTAGCACCACATTGTCAAATCATGGAGCAATTAGGCTTAAAAGATTCGTCTCACAATTTACACGCAATCTGTATAATTAGTTATTTTTTCGTTTATTTTTTCACGAACGCGCAAAAGGATTGCACGTCAATATATTAGAATAAAAAGAGTTTTAGTTACACACCACAGTTAGAAGAAAAGGATTGCACGTTATTTTTTCATTTATATTTAATACTCCATGCATGTGCTCAAATATTTGATGTGACATGGTGAAAAATTTTGCCAGGGGATCTAGACAGGCCCTTATTTAATATTGTCATCAACATTTACCGTTCATGATAAGATATCATCAAACTTTTGTAAATGTTAAATACCAATAACTAACTCACATGATTATATTTTTTTAAAAAAAATCAACGGTTGGTTTGTCTCCGAAGAGTATTGGGAGGTGAACCCATCTCCCATGCACGGAAAACGGAGCAGTTTATTAGCGCGTAATTAATTAAGTATTAGCCTTTTTTTTCAAAAATAGATCAATATGATTTTTTTAAAACAACTTTTGTATAGAAACTTTTTATAAAAAAAAGTACCGTTTAGCAGTTTGAAAAGCGTGCGCGCGGAAAACGAGAGAATAGTGTTGGGAACTTGCTCTTGCAAACACACCCCTCACGATATTACAAACTTGTTCTAATATAAAATCAATTACTAAAACTTTAAAAGTTAATCAAGCCTGGTTTCGAACGTCAAATAGTACTTCTTCACGGTGGAAGTATGTACTTGCTTGGTTTGGCAGGAACAAAAGGACGTGACAATTGCACAAAACCAACACCAAAACCCACAAATCCACAGCGCATCATAGGTACGAAAATCTAATCTGATGGATCCATCCGAATATCTGACGCACAGGCGAGGCTGACCGACCAGCTTGTTTGATGAGGAAATGAAACGGTCGCCCGACTAGTGACCGAGCTTTCTTTCCTAGGTCACCGCACTGCAATGCACATGGTGTGGAGCAGTGATTTTATTGTTCCGACCAACCGTTCGTCCGTTCGCCATTGCTGGTCCAATCCAAGAAGGCAAAATTTGCTACAAGACATTCAAAAAATGTGTAATTAGCTGAAGTACACTATAAAAACGTGTATTTACTGTAGGGCATCGTAAAAAAGTGGTAATTGGCTGCTGGACACCCATAGCATTATTTTATTATTTTTGGAGGAAAAGGAGAGAGAAACAACGATTAAAGACAAGTTTGCCCTTGGCTCAAATGACCCCAACGTGGGCCCCACATGGAAGTCCCCTCTCCCTCTCCCTCTCCTTCTTCCCAGACAAGCCAGGTGGCAGAGCGGCAATCCGCGGCGGCGGTGGCGGCGGTGCCGACCACGTTCGCCATCGGGAGGGGGGCTACGTGCAGCCACGCCGCCGTGGCCTCGGCCGCGTCGCCGCGCGCTGCCGGCTGCCGGCGCTCATCTACGTGCTCGACTCGGCGATGAGCGGTGCCGTCGCGCTCATGGCGGAGCGCCGCGACATGAGTGGGACCGCCCGGCCGGGATGTTGGTTGTGTTGGAGTGGACGCTCAAGTGCGGCGGCGGCGGCGGCCCGGCGCTCATCTCCCTCCCGGCGGCGTCGTTCTTCGCCGGCAACCTCGCTGGGAGCTTCCTGCTCACGACGCTCGCCGACACTCATCTGGGACGAAGGAAGATGCTCGTCATGTCGCTGGCGAACATGTCCGTCGCCGTCGTGATCACGGCCTTCTCACCGAACGTGTGGGTGAACGCCGCCCTGAGGTTCGTGTGCAGGTTCGGCAGGTCCATGGCGGGCACATCCGCGATGGTCCTATCCACGGAGCTCGTCGGGAAGTGGTGGCGCAACACGGTGAGCTTTGCCGGGTTCGTCTTCTTCTCCGTCGGGTTCATGTCACTCCCGGCGCTCGCGTACATGTTCCGCGAGGCGTCGTGGCGGACCATGTACATGTGAACGTCGCTCCCGTCCCTCTGCTACACCGTCCTGCTCTACTTCCTCGTCTAGGAGTCGCCGCGGTGGCTGCTGGTGCACGGCCGGAAGCAAGAGGCCATCGAGGCGTTGCGGCAGATCGCGTCGCTCAACGACGGCGAAGGCATTACAATGTCGAGCTTCACCATGCTGGATATGTGCGCCGTGGAGGTGGGGGACGGAGTGGCCGGTGGCGAGGGCATGTTAGCCATGCTGCGGTCGATATGTGAGTGGTGGTGGGCACTCCAGAGGCTGGCGACGATCACGACGGCCAGCTTCAGCATCGGCGTGGTCTACTACGGGATGCCGCTCAGCGTGGGCAGCCTGAGCTTCGACCTCTACAGCGTAGCGTACAACGCAGCGGCCGAGCTCCCGTCGTCTTTCCTCTCGTGGCTCCTCATGGGCAGGTTCAACCAGCGCAGCTCGGTGGTCGAGCTCACCGCGGTGTCCGGGCTGTGCAGCCTCGCGTGCGTCGTCATCCCGGCGGACCCGGAGGCCGGCACCGGTGGCTTGCGCCTCGCCGCCGAGCTGTCCTCCTTCTTCGCGTCGTGCGCGACCACGCGCTCGTCTAGGACAACGGCAAGCCGCCGTGGCCTCGGCCGCGCCGCCAGCACTTGCGCTGCTGCGCCCGGTCGTCGCCCCGCACCGCCCCGCGCCAGCCGCCTCCCGCTCAGGTGTACGCTCGCGTGGTGAGGAAGGGGATAGAGAGAGAAGCAAGAAGAAAGAACCGAGAGAAGAGAGAGAATGAGAAAGAAAAGAATAAAGAAAAAGAAAAAAAATCAAAGGGTAAAACCGTATTTACACTGTTGTTTCTCTCTTCTTTTCCTCCAAAAATAATAAAATAATGCTGCAGGTGTCCAGCAGCCAATTACCAGTTTTTTACGATGCCCTACAGCAAATACACGTTTTTACGGTGTCCTCTAACTAATTACACGTTTTTTGGATGTCCTGTAGCAAATTTTGCCGTCCAAGAAACTGCACAACTCCCCCCACCTACTCCAGGAGTAGTCCGCACATGATGGTCAGGTCACTAGGTCGGCAGCTGGGATGTGCCATGGTTGTACTTGTCGTTGCCGGCTGCTAACATACGATTAGTCTTGGACTCTTGGTGGTTGCATTGCACTCTTGCAGAAAGGTAGACTAGCTGCTGCCTATCATGAATAGGAAAATAGTTCAAATTACTCCCGTGAATTATTGTGACGGTACGAATTACCTCTATATCAGATTTCGGAGTGGTTTTGGTCCCACATGGCGCATATGTAGTAGTCTAGTCAGTATAGAAAATATTAAAAATGATAGGGGCCACTTATCAGTTTGTCTCTTCTCTCGGTCACCATATGTGGGTCCTACTTTTTATACTGACTGATTGCCACGTGTGTATCCGGTAGGACCAAAACTGCTTCGGAGTTTATCAGAGGGCAATTCGTCCGGTATAACAAGATAAGGGTGAAGAATATCTGTTTTTTTTAATTGAGGTGGTAATTTGGATTTTTTCCTTACGAATACGACTTACTACGTTTGTTCCAAAGTATAAATATTTTTAGATCATTAATTTGTTATCATATGCTGATATTATTTTTTAGTTGTATTAATGGTTAAATTTTAAATTTTGAATTCACTGTATTCCTCTCGCAAGCACGTGATTAGCTGAAAATGTATGGATGTCTGTGCATTAGAATCAGTGCATCAGAAATGACTATATTATCGTACAAATTTTGAATTAGTATTTTCAAACCGAGGGAGCAGTACTTTGTTTTGGGTGTGTTTAGTTCACGTTAAAATTGGAAGTTTGGTTGAAATTGGAACGATGTGATGGAAAAGTTGGAAATTTGTGTGTGTAGGAAAGTTTTGATGGATAGAAAAGTTGGAAGTTTGAAGAAAAACTTTGGATCTAAACTCGGCCTTTGTATACTTCATCCTATTTTAAGCGCAACCATAAGTTTTCGTATCCAACTTTAATTGTCCGTCTTATTTCAATTTTTTTTATGATTACTATTTTTATTGTCATTAAATGATAAAACATGAATAGTAATTTATGCGTGAGATATGTTTTTGACCTTTTTAAAACAAAATAAGACGAACGATTAAATTAGATATGGAAACTCATGTCTGCGCTTAAAAGATGAAAGGACTAGTATCCTTGACCGAGGTATTATGCTGTTGATAAGAATAGGAGGTCCACTCTTGTTGTCTATGCTTGACTGAGAAGAATCCTCTTGCCATGGGAGGAACAATCAACCACACAAATTGAATATCCTTATATCCATCCTACACACGCTAAAAGAAAGATCGACAAATTTGATGGGCCAGTAGCAGTACTAGGCAAACTGCAGCACACCAATACCAGTATTAGATTTTATACAAAACTGATTGAAAATGTCCAATTCAGCGGCAGGGGTTTCCTTAAAAATCTTAATTCTATTATTGCGGGTGTATATATATAATTACAGATCACAAACCCTTTTTCAGTTTTCGACCCAGTCCTACATGAAACAATCAACCAAAATCACCACTTGAAGCTTGTAGATCACTTTCAGATAATTCCATCAAGAATGAGATCAATGACATACACGGCCATTTTCCTAACTTATCATACAATTTTTCTTTTCTCCTTTTTCAGGCAAACTGCTCTCCTTCACACGGTTTGCAGAGCTAGCATTCGCTCCATCCAGTCGATGATGTCTGTGGCGATCTCATCACGCTCAGGCTCAAAGAGCAGATCGTGCAAGAACCCATCGTACAGCCTCAGATCCTTGTGCCTCGATGAGGCCTCGTTGTAGAGGTCCTGTGAAGCCAGGGGGTCGGTCACCCGGTCTGCGGTTCCATGGAGGACCATGAATGGGACGGTGACCTTCTTCAAGTTGTGCAGCAGGTAGGAGGAGATGCGTAGGATTTCATGGCCGGTCCGAACTCTGATCGGCCCGGTGTAAACCAGCGGATCGGAGTACTTCGCTAGCAGGGCAGCCGGGTCGCGGGACACCGGGATGCCTCTCTTGTTAGCTCCCTTGAACTGAAACTTTGGTGCTAACAGAGAGAATATTGGCGCCACAGCCTGCAAGATTCAGATAGTTGGTATGCACTTATCAGAATGTCGAAAAAAAAACCAAGATGGTCCAATTTTTTAAGATTTGCACATCAAGGACGAGATTAAATGTAGTTCTCGTAAGCATTAATTTTGTACAGATTGTTTTTCTGCCGGGCATAGTTTGTGCAGATTGGAAAATTCTAAATATATAATGCAATCATTTTAATAAGCGCATACAGGTCATAGTATATCTGTTTTTCTAACGTTGAATAGAATACAACTGCCACAGTTTCTCGCAGAAGGTTTGATAAGATGGCAAATGATAAGTTGCTTAAACCAATTTTGCAAGCTGTTTTAATTAATTGAAATATACCTAGTTCTTCAAAGGTATTCATGATCTTCTTTTAGCAAGTTATGCAGATGAATCTACTTTTGCTGACCTAGAGGATGCTTATTCCATCAAAACAAACACAGTTTAGAAATAAACAGGGTATCAGAAAAAGCAGCATTACCCCTACAATGGGATGAGCAGGTTTTACACGCAGAGCTGGTGAAGTTAGGATGATGCCTTCCAGTTTTGCTCTGATACGAGGGAACAATGATGCCTGGAAAATACCAGCTATTGATAAGCACAAGGGAAAGAAGAACATGAAGCATGTAAAATGAACATATCTGCAGCCAAACCATTTCAAGTTTTCAACCAGGCTATTTTGTTAATGCTTTGCACCATTGCTCTGCCCGTCACGATATCCATTATTCACAGGCCCAGAGGAGTAGGGTCAGTTTCTAAACCTGGCCTAAATAGAGCTGAGAAAAACTACTTATTGTTACAAGGCATACCTTCAAAACAACAGCTCCACCAGTGGAGTGACCAAGAAGAAAACAGGGGACCCCTGGATTCTCAAGCACAATTTTACCAAGAAGTACATCCTGTTTGAAGATAATAAAATATTTCATAAGTAACAGAATGAAGGAATAATTGCAAGACAGACTTGCTATTTTCAGACTTACTATATCTTCTACAACATAATCTAGTGAAGGCACATAACCATGTAGACCATCGCTTCCACCATGGCCTGACATTGTATATGGAGATGTTAGAGTTAGCCTGTTAATGTTCAAAATAAAAGTAGAAACAAACAGATGTTGTTGATACAAAAAGCGATGCAAACTGCATGGATAAAATCAATGAAATTGCCTACTGTGTTTGGTTAGTAAGTGTGCATTGCAGGGTCAATTTGTGCTGTGAGTGAACAGAGTGTGGTAACATTAGAATCATGAGCTAGAAGTTGATTCTGAATAAAATTTCATGCTTTTGTCCATAACAAACGGTAATACTCTGTTATCAATAAGACTACTTCACTTTCAATATCAAATGAAATATTTAGCTGGTTCTAAATTTCTAATTAGTCATACTCCTTCTAATAGACAATCCCCATATTTTCCAATGACTTTTTGGCTCACACAAAAACTCAGTTAGTTATATTAGGTCCGACAAAATGGGTACTTAAACAACCCCAAAAACTAATTTCATGTGCATTCTGACCCAAACCACTGTAACTTACCTAAATGTAGGACTAAAACTAGCCATCCAAAGAGTGAAAGAGGCAATAATGCATGTCCAAGAAACCAAACTAGTTCTCACCTATCCAGTCCATTGCATATACTCCAAAGCCACATGATGTGAGCAGCTCCGCAAAGTGCAAATACCTTCCACTGGAAATACGGGATCAAAAAGTATTTAATTATTCTTTTGACAACAAAGAGGAAAGAACATGTATATTGTATATTAAGGTGTGTGGTGGGTGGGGGACTTAAGAGGATATATAGCCTTACCTGTGCTCATTAAGCCCATGTATGATGACCAAAATACCCCTAAAGTAAAGAGAGGAAATGATCAGTATAAATTGAAAGTGGAAGCAATTGTACAACAGTGTCACTGCAAAGTAAAAATAAACTGTTCTTAACATTAGCATTGAAACACATGCTACCCTCGTAAATAGATGGTTCAGGCTAATGAAGAATTCCACTTTGCTGCAAAAGAGGCTTCAACAGAACAATACTCTTCAAAAGGTTTCAGCTGTAGGGTTGTCAAATTTGCCAGCAGCGTCAAGGGTAGCTGATCAGCTACACTTTGAAGTATTAAACAAAGGTGGTTGGTTCCTATTTCAATCTTTGTTCAATGCAGCGTTTGACTACAGTATCATTTAAAATGTGAACAGCTGAACAGAGCTAAACCAGCAGGTCATGGGAATAAGAATAATCCACAGTTTGGTTATACAACATTGGGGCAAAGGAATAAAAAAAAGCTTCCTCCTTTTCTTGATAGCTAAGCTATTCAGGGTCACTTTAGTTTAAGCCATCACATTCAGACGTTTTCAACGATAACAAAGATATAGCAATGGAGCAAAGGTTGTGAGATAAGGAATCGCTTTGATTCTGCTAATCTACCCGATTGTGCTTAAATTGGTCTCCTAAACTAAAGCCTAAAGGTACACGAATAAAGCTTCTATAATCTCTTCTTATCCATTAGTACTAGTAAGTTACCAGCACTAAACATTTCATACCATCAGAGAGAAAAATACTCTGCATCAGAAGCTGTCGTAAACTTAGCCAACTGGTTTGTAAGAGAGTATGACAATTGGCAAGAAGTCCATTTGACCATTATATCGAACTACTCCTACCTAACAATTGCAGAACCACGGATGAAGACAAGATTATGCAGCGGCGAACTACTTCAATTGCAGCCTAGCCGGTGCAATGAATGCAAGAACGTTGCCCGGTATCTGAGGCCGGATGTGTGTAGGAGACGTGCATTAGACGGCACGTCTCTCTCAGAGAGACTCGCAGATGCAGCAACAGAGTTTCAGCAATGCGATTTACGCCACAAATCCTACCGTGATAAATCAAACCACTAAATTATTATGATCCAGATGCAGCTCATCTTCACGAATGTCTAATCGGAACTGAAATTAACCGTCATTTCACAGCTAGATCACCGGAAATTTCAGCGAAAACAATCTGGAAATTTGACCGAAACTGCCACCAGCTACAAGCCTACAACCAACCAAAAGAAAACGCTTGGAGAAGAGACAAAAGAAGCCTCTTCCAATTCCCCAACTCGAGGAGAACAAAACGCCACCCCAATTCCGAAACCTGGGATCTCTCTCCACCAAGAAACAAAAATCCCCTAAAATTCAGAACGAAATGACGAATAATAATACAGTAAAAATATTCACAGGAATCAGACGAGAATAAAAAGGTAGTCCTCTTGCGTAAAAGCAGAGCCACAAAACGCCCTTCCCCCACCAATCCACCAATGGGAGAAGATCGATTTTAAAAAAATTGAATCGATGTGTCCAACAAGAAAACGAAATCGCCATAAGCCAACAAAAAAAACAAGCCACTGATCCCCTCCACAACAATCCAAACCACTATACCGAAGGAAAAATTGATCGCCGAACCCTCCGTGCTCACCTCATCTCGGCGGCGGCGGCGGCGGGCGCCCAGACGCGGCAGAAGAGCGCGTTCCTCCTCGCCCCGGGGACGACGAACGTCTCCCACCGCCTCGCCCCCTCCCCGTCCGCGTCCTCCACCATGGCCACCTCCTCCGCGAGCGCCCTCCTCCGCCGCACGTCCTCCTTCTCCGCCGCCCTCCTCCGCGTCCTCACCGCCCTCCCCGCCTCCGCCCCCTCCCCCGCATCGCCCCGCCTCCGCCGCCAGCCGCCGCCGCCGACGAGGAGGAACACCCACAGGAGCAGCGAGTGCAGCGCGACGGCGAGGCGGAGCAGCGCCCGCCGCGACAGCACGGAGCGGAACACCGGCACGATCCGCCCCGTCGCCCCCGACGTCATCATCATCTCCTCCCCTCCTCCTCCTCCGCCCTCCATGGCCGCCGGCCGACTCCTCCCCTTCGTTTTACTTTTTCTTTCTTTTTTCCTTTGCGCGTTTTACGCGGTCGTTCGCGGCGATGGCCGCGTATTTATAGGGAGGTGGGCGCAAGCGACGACGTGGCTGACAGGTGGGGCCCACGCTCCGAGCCGACGGGGGGCTGACAGGTGGGGCCATCGCTCCCAGCGGCAGTGCTACAGCTGCCGGCTCATTCATGTGGTCCCCACCATCCACCGTCCACTGTATCATGGAGAACGGGACAGCCATGCTCCATTCTTTAGGGGGCTCGTCTCGCCCGTTGGATCTAGTGTGCTGTTTGGGAAGTTTACGGAGGTTGTTTCAGATTAATTACATTTTAAACTATATTATTTTTAAAAAAATATCAAATATATACATACATTTAGTTTTTTTTCACTAAACTCTATTAAATCCATAAGAAATCCAGCCAAAATTTAGAAATATTGTTAAATTGCCAAAATTTTGGCTAAAGTTTATTTCGACTATAATCTGAACAGGCCCTAAGATTTCGAGAATATGCTAGTTGGTAGCTAACTTCTGATAATTTAGAGAAGTTGTAAACCAGCTTCTGAATTCTAAGGGCCCCTTTGATTGATAGGATTGGCAAAGAATTTTCATATGATTCAAATTTCTATGGATTTTTTTCTACATATCCCTTTGATTCATTGGAAAGAAAGGCAATTTTCCATAGGATTGTATTCCTATGCTTCACATTTTATAGGAAAAATAGCAAGAGGTGTGATTTCTTTGTGAACTTTCCTTTGTTTATCCCATAGCATTATCGAAGGACTCGTATTTGTCTTTCTTGTGTTTGTTAATTCCTGTAGGATTTGAGCAACGTACTACTTCAATTCCTGCGTTTTTTCTATTCATGTGTTTTTTCTATCCTGCTAATCAAAGGGCCCCTAATTCATTTTCTGGATTCTATAACTACATATTCTCAGAATTTATGTGACAATCTGAACTGTTTAGGAAGCTGAAGATTCTGTGAAAAGTTACAGCTACTAAAAGCTCCCTAAACAGGCACTAGGTTGTGTTTGATTACCGGTTACATTTTATCACAACTATACTTTGTTAGCTAAGTTATAGTAGATAAAAATATGGTAGATAGATTACTAGCTATAATATGTGGTAAAGTTAATAAAAATATAACTATGATAATGAACCGAACTCAACTATGGTAGCTTAAAAAATGGTGTAGTAAAACGTGATAATGAATCAAACACCTCTTTAATCCGTCCAGATCACCGGCAGTCGGTGAGATTGCACTCGATCATCGAGACTGTAGGACATGGCCATTTTGTTGACTATCAGCGAGGACCCTGGACCCTAACCAATAACCATCTAGATGATGGACAATTACATTGATTAATCAACTACAGAAAAAAAATAGATGGAAAATTCTACTTTCTTTTCTGACACAAGCGTGGCTAAGACACTGTCGAGAGGACATACATCGTCCGCATTAATACTGTTGATGTAATAACAATCACTTGGGTGATCTACTCCAGTTTTATACAAGGGGCGGATCCAACGTGGATGCAGGGGGGATTCGATTCCCCCCCTACACCCACAAGACCCATGGATACCTCCGGAGCAATCCTTTCAATTTTCTCGCCATAAATGATAAACTAATGGTCCCTAAATAGCTGTAGGTTAAAGAAACTATATAATTAAGTCCATCATTTTTTTTTTATTCCTGGATCCGCCCTGTTTATACACATACAATCAACCAAACGCATCGCTGGCTGCACGAGGGATACGAGCCACCCCAATGCAGCCAATCAAACATACCCATACTACATCAGCAGTAATGCATTGAAGCTGTTTGCTAGTGAAAGGTCATTGTCAGGTAGCTACTGATTGTTATTGCTGCATGGCACGGTCGATGCAGAGAGAGAGAGAGAATGCGACCCATACATGTGTGCAGATGTGCTCATCGATCGTCGTCTCCTTGCAAGCGACCTGTCGGTTGCGGCAAAACCAACCACATCCACATGAACACACAGTCAGTAACATTAACAGTAAAATTAATTTTCTCTGTACCTTTGATATATAATGCTTCCTCCGTCCTACGATAACTTCACTTTTCACTCATCACACATATCAATAAAAGGGAAAAAAGCTAGAATATCTTCTAATTTAACATATCCCAAAACAATCGCCCCCACCACTTTAATAAGTCTCATTATATTTGCGATCTACTTTCACAAACTCTAATAAAGTGATAATCTAAAAGTATTTGAGGACAGATTAGATGGTGAAAAATAAAATTATTTTAGAAATGTACGACCTGATCGTGCCTGAGGAGTAAACAAATATACTACGGCTGTACGGCATATATGGCTCGTTGCGTCCCTATCGAACCAATGCTATTTTCCAAGCAAAGAACTATGAGGCATCTAGCAAATCCACAGCATCGACGTGAACGAATATGCGGCCATGGAATTACAGTACTAATTGCCCTAATTTTTTTTCCTGTAGAAAGGAGTATAAATGTATAATTAATAAGATGATATAAACGAGCTGTGGAAGTTGCGACAAAGAGAACAAGGGAGCCAAGAGCCAAGGATTTATTTATTTATTTCTCCTTTTTAACTTGGGAGTCTTTTGCTATTTTCGTCTTAATTAAGCCGTCGATATATATCTTCCTGATACTTCTGATGATACTCCTTGAAATCTTTGTGATACCTTCGATATACTCGTTAATATACGGTGATACTTGCTGGCAAGTACACTATGATAGTTGTTGATATTCGTATGTACTATCTTAAAATAAACCATATGAGAAAAAAAAGGGGGATACATAGTAGGATTATATCCTGCCATAATGGGTCTTAAAAAACATAATGAGTGACAAAAAGATAAGCGTGGTCCCCTGTTTTTGCTAGCCGAGCACATTTTTGTGGGCCTAAAGTTCACAGGCCTTGTTATTAACAACAAAGTTATCCAGGCTTGGAATAAGTTCACTTTGGGCCCCTCTATTTGTCGCTTAGTCCGATTTTCGTCCCTTGGTCGCAAAACCGGGTACGACAAGTCCCCCAACTTTCGAAACCGTTTAAATGTTGTCCCTCGGCAGTATTGCATCTGGTTTTTGCTGAGGTGGCGCCTACGTGGCTAGGTCTTTGTCCAATGTGTCAATGTGGCGGTTACGTGGCAATTAGATCCGAAAAAATAATAGTACACGTGGGACCCACATGTTAGTCGCACACAACTTAAAAAAATGGTGGGCCCATGAGGACCCAGACGTCATCCTCTCTATCCTCTCTCTCCCTGTTCTATCGCTCTCCAGCCGGCGGAACGGGATGGGCGGCGGCCGGAGCGGGCGACGGCGGGGCGGAGCGGCGGCGGAGGCAGAGCGGGGCGGAGCCGAAGGGCGAAGCGGGGCGGGCGGCTGCCGAAGCGGGGTGGAGCGGGGGCGAGCGGATGTCGTCGAGCCGTCGCCATCCTCGCCGCGGCGGACACCGTGAACGACGACGTGCTCGCGCGCGGGTGGTCTTCAACTCGGGGGTGTCCAACCCGGGGAAGGGAGGGGGGGGGGAGCTCCTGGCGCCGTGGTTGGAGGACGCCGACCGCGCCCAACGACGACGAGCGCGCGGAGAAGGATGAGGCGGCGGAGGCTGTGGTGTTCATCAACGGGGAGGACGATGAGGCGACGATCTGTCCGGGTTCAGGGGCCTGGTTCTTGATCTCTCTTATAGGTGACCTCAACGACCTCAACTTGATCTGACGATATCATCCAAAGTTGCAAACTATTTTGTTTATGATAGACCAAATTTTGCAGTGATCGTGTTAGAAAGAGATAAAAACAATTTGAAGGAATTTTGCATTTTTACCTCGAAATATAACCAGGCCTGTGAACGTTGTCTGCTGGAAGCGCGCAATTTGTTTGGAATTCATGGCGAAGGTTAGCTTCTCTGCTTCCAAAATCATTTTTAACTTCACCATCAGTTATTCAAAGTTCATTATTTGATCCAAAAACATGCAACAGCAGCGCTCAGAGGGGCAGAGCACACGGCGGCGATGGCAGGAGCTTGGCGCTTCGACGGCGTCGGTTCTTGACCCCGTAGCCGACGACGGCGAGGAGCGCGACGGCGGTGAGGAAGACGTAGACGTCGTCGTCAGCAGTAGCCTCCGCCGCCGCCCACGGCCGTGCTGCCCCGCGTCCCCCTCGAGGAGGGGACCGACCTCGCCGCTGCCGTCGCGCACGAGGGCTCCGGCTGCTACGTCCTCACCGTCCTCCGCCGCGCCCTCCGTCCTCGCCGGAAGCAGGAAGGGTGCCGCCCGGGTCGTCACGCGCGCCGCCCATTCTCCCCGTCGGCCGCTGCTCGTCGGTCGTCCTCCCCATTGGTCGCCGCCCGTCCTGGTGCCCCTTCTCCCCGCCGGTCACCGCCCATCCCGGCGCCCCTTCTCCCCGCCAGTCGCCGCCCGTCGCGCCATTCTCCTCGCCGACAGTCACCCATCTCTTCGTTGCCTGTCACGCCGTCCACCCCGCCGGCCGCTGCTCGTCTCGGCGCCCTAGCTGCATCTCCTCCTCCTCCGGCGGCCACCGCCGGACACTGCCCCTTCTCCCCGCCGGCCACCGCCCGTCGGCCGTCGCGCCCGAGAGAGGAGAGGAGGGAGAGAGACGAAGAGAGGGGAGATGGGGAGTGAGGAGGAAGAAGAGGGGAGTGAGATTGACATGTGGGCCCATGTGGGCTCCATCTTTTTTAATTATTGTTTTGTGTAACTGACATGTGGGTCTCACGTGTATTATTTTTTTTCCAAATCAAATTGCCACGTAAGTGCCATGTCAATGCCACGTGGGACGGAGACCTAGTCAAACCAGTCACGTAGGCGCCACGTCAGCCAAAACCACTACCCAAACCGCTTTAGGACCTTATGTGTCCGGTTTTCGTAAGTTGGGGGCCGGTTCGTACCCGGTTTTGTGGTTCAAGACGAAAATCGGACTCGGCGACAAATAGAGGGACCTCAAGTGAACTTATTCCTCCAGGCTTGTCTATACATACTGGGCTGATACAGTAAGGTGTACAGGGAGTAGCCTAATGACACGATAAGGAAAGGGAGAAAAACCCAGCCCATATGAAGAGGAGGCCGCGGCCCACGGCCTCTTGACTCGGATAACGGGCTCACCTTGCCATAATGGACCAACTTTATGGCCTAACGGGCCTGTGTAGTAATGAACGAAGGAGAAGGCAAGATGAACCGTGCTCGTCCATACAAAACGTTCAGAATCGCTTTCAACAAAGGAAGTTCAGAATCGTTTTGTTTCTTGGTTTTTTATGTGACCTAGTTTTGATGCTCCGGTTAGCATCCATGCTAATAGTTCAGTTAGTGTGAAGTGAATTGTTTCGGTGAACCCCGCAAAAAAAAAAAGAATTGTTTCGGTGAAGATGGTAGATTCAGTCATGAATTGTTTCGGTGAACCCCGCAAAAAAAAAGAATTGTTTCGGTGAAGATGGTAGATTCAGTCATCCAGACAGTGGTCCTGTTTGGATCCAAAGGATATTTTTTAGGCCTCCCTCAAATAGTCCAAATAGCTCAAAAAGATCCAAAAGGGTGAGCTATTTGAGGGCTATTTGGAAATAGCCCACCCAAAAAAACTATCCCACCCAAAGAGTGCTAATTGGGGCTATTTCAGGTGGGGTTCATTGAAAAAGTGTCTTTTATCTCTATCTCTCTCCATGAGAAGGTACATTAAAAGCCAAATAGCTCTTAAAATAGCCCTTGAATCCAAACAACTTAGGGCTATTTTATTGGAGGACTATTTTTTTTGCTAAAAAATAGCTCTCAAAATAACTCTAGACTAGTTCTCCAAATAGGGCCAGTGTTTGTTTACAAGTGTTTTGCACTACTGCAATGAGATACAGTACAACATGAGCTGGTTTTAGATGGGTCTACTGAAGTGCCTGAAAGATAAGACATTTTTATTCTTGAGTAAAGTGTACTGGCGTTGTGTGGGTGTGTCAACTAGTTCCCTGAACTCTCAAAATGAATTTTTAGGTCCCTCAACTTGTCTTGGGTGTCACGTAGGTCCAAATGTGTTTCAACCTGCTCCGTGTGCTGACGTGGCATGCCATGGTGGCGCCTACGTGTAAGTAGAACCCATATATCAGCCACATATAGAAAAAAAATAAGAACATATTTTTTTCTCCTCTCTTTTTTCATTTATTTTTCAAAATTAACACATCATTTTCTCCTCTCTTTTTAAATTTTATTTTTTTTCTACATGATTGACATGTGGATCGCACTGACATGTAAGCGTCGCTGTGGCATGCCACGTCATCTCACGGAGCGGGTTGGAGCCCGTTTGGACCTATATGACACACATGACAAGTTTGGGGACCAAAAAATATATTTTGAGAGTTTAAGGATCTAGATAACACATTTGTACAAGTTTAAGAACCGTCCGTACACTTCACTCTTTATTCTTGCTTACTGTTTGGTTTTCTTCCCTATGGATGTAATGACACGCTGACAGGAATGAAGACAGTATATGATACCTAGCCTCTGTGTTTTCAACTTCTGCTTGTGGCAGCTGCTAAATTTTCATTCATCTGACTGTGTGAAGGTAACAGCTTAAATAAACTCCATTTCACCTGATATACAGAAAAAACGTAGCAACCAGCAAAACAGATGGGCGGGTAAAATGGGAGTAGTTAAGTAAATCAATACATTTGTCAATACACATGCACATTTCTAGATATCAAAGAAGCCAAGACTTCAAAGGAGACAAACTTTAAGTAATTACTCTAATAATTAACGATGAATTACAATCTTTAAGTAACTACAAGAGCTCGCATGGAATTCATGAAAATTCTACACCAATAGTTTCATTTCAGTACAATCAATTTTTTGAAAAGGCTTTCAGTAGTATCAATAGTACTAATCACTTTTGTTGCAACAAGTTTCTTGATTATCACTCGCAATCAGACACTAATTAATCAACCTAGAGGCTTAATTAATTTTTAAATTTTGGCGGGCTTTGCACCCGAAGAAGGTGAAGGATTTCATTTGTTGGGGGCAGCTGATCAGTCCTTGGTAATGGCGGGGATGCAGCTGGAGCTCCTGGTGAGGCCGCCATGGCCGTGGTCCCTCGGGCTGTTGGACCTCGACCTCTTGCGGAGGATCTCCCTCATGGCCTCCGTCTGCATCAGCACCGGGTTGGCGCGCCCCACGCGGTTGAACCGCCCGCACACCGCCATGTGCGCCGCCAGCGCCTCCTCCGCCGTCGCCGTCGTCCACCCGGTGCCGCCGTGGCGGCATCTCCTGTCGGCCTCGGCGCTCGCCGCGGCGGCGCACAGGCCGCACACCCACCGCCCGCAGTAGCGCTCCCGGACGCGGCGCGCGTACTCCGGCGTGCACTCCTCCTGCATGCCGCAGCACTCGCACCGCGCCTCCTCCACCACCACCTGCTGCTGCTCCGTGATCTCCGGCAGCTTCTCGCCGCCGCCGCCGCCGCCGGCTGCCGCGTCCGCCACCTGCTGCTTCTTGGTGAGCTCCAGGGCCAGGTCGGACATGGCGCGCTGGAGCCCCTCCATCGAGATCCTCCGCGGCTTCTCCGCCCGCTTCCCCCTCGCCACCGCCGGCGCCGGCGCCGGCGCCGCCGCAGCCGCCGCCACTGCGCCTTCCCCGTTTGGCGCCATCATCCACTACCACTAGTATGATTTCTAGCTGCAAAACGAATGCTCAATTTGCTACTCGATCAGATGCTGATGAGCTGACTGATTACTACCGACGAGTGAGTATGAACCGAATTCAATGTGGAGAAGAAGGTGATATCGATGAGCTATATATACACTGGCCGTGCACGGGAAAGCGAGCGAGCGCGGATCAGATTGCGTACGTCGGCGTGGATGATGAGCCCGTGACATGATCGACGAGGAACGGAGCGAGCTGGAAAAAGAAGGGAGGGGAAAGAGGGAGAGGTCGCTTGAATGCCCTAGATTACTCTCACTCTCAGGCTCTCAGCATCCATTGGCTAATTAAGATCATATCGAACAATGGGCAATGACTAACTCAATTGGCCATGCAGTGTCACCGAGATTGCTGCGTGTTTGGACGCCTAGCTCGTGCTCGTGAGCTAGATGCTAAAGTAGATGCTCGAGTTTTCTTGGCCACGAGTAATCAGAAGAACTCCTGTGTCCATCGATCTGTGTGGTTACAACCTTGATTAATTAATTAATTGCGTAAATTAATGGAGTACAAAATTAATCGGTCACTGCAAAATTTTAGTTGTGTGTCATACTCTCATCTTCTTTCTTCCCACGGTATATATATATAGATCTATCTGGCCGATTGTGTTGTATAAAAAAAAACTCTTTTTCTTCTAATATATTGGCGTGCAATATTTTTGCGCGTTAAAAAAAATGTGCCACACTATCGTCTCTATGATCATTCATGGATAGATGAATATATAGATGGCGCACGCGTGAACCACGTTGTGTGTCAATCTCGATCTCTAAACAGCGAGCGAGCATGCAGGTGCCGTGTCCATCCATATGCCGCGCGCGACGCCGTCCACAACTCCACAAGCTTCCGCTACTACGATACCCATCAAGTCCATCACCACCTCGCGCGCTGCGCGCATGTGTCCGTCGTCCGTCCACTCCCAACTCCCAACCAGCTAGCGGCCGCCGCGCCCGCGCGCGCCGGACGTCCGCTTCGCCGCGTGATTGCGTCAATGATTATTGCGCCGCGCGCGCGCGCGCTTTCCCTGGCTGCACGAGCGCCGCGCGCCGGGCGGGGCGGTCACGAGATGTCTGGGCGAGGGCGAGGGCGAGACGCGCTGGCTTTTCGATTGTACCTGCCGCCGATGGCCTCGATCGCACGCGGAGGTGCGATGCCTTTGGCTGGGCCGTGTTCAATGAGCCGTTCTCTTGGCCCAGCAAAGGAATAAGTTCACTTTGTGACCCTTAAAAATGATCGAAATCTAAACCGTGACCCTAAACCATAAAACCAGATATCTCAACCCCCAACTCTTAAAACCGGTGCAATTTGACTCCCTCGGTGGTTTTGGAGGGCGGTTTCGCTGACGTGGCGCATACGTGGCATTATTGACTCGGTCTTCTTTGCACGTAGCGTTGAAGTGGCGCTTAGGTGGCATTAGAAATAAAAAAATGTGTGGGACCCATTTGTCATCCACTAAAAGTATGGGTGGGACCCACTGACATGTGGGGCCCACATAAACCATGTTCTCCTCATCCTCCCTCTCTTTCTTTCTCTTCGGCGAGCGGCGGCTGAGGGACAGGGGCCGGCGGCGGCGGGAGGGCAGGCGGGCGAGGGTGGCGGCGGCTCGTGGCAGTGGGAGGACGAGGGGAACGACGGCGGCGGGAGGGTGGGCCGGCTCCCGCCGCCGCTGGACCCTGTCCCTCAGCCACGACGACTGTGGCGGTGACCGCGAGCCCGTTGGCATGGAGGACACCGTCCACGCCGCGTCCCTCATCGTACCGGGGCGCCCACTCGCGTCCGTGACAAGTTACCTGGCGGCGCGGTCGAGGCAGGAGGTGCGGGAGATGGTGGCCGCGCTGGAGAGCCACGGCGCCGAGCAGCTGAAGCAGCTGTAGGTTCCCGGGCTGGCCACCGCCATGGAGCAGGCGCAGCGGCTGTTGGAGATGTTCGCCGCCGACGAGGAGGAGGTGACCAGGAAGAAGCTGAAGCGCGCGAGCGACTCGCCGCCGGGAGGCGCGGATGAACAGCACACGAAGCAGAGCAAGGTGGTCGGGGTTGATGGCGTCGTCAAGGCTTCTTGACGCATTGTCCCCTGCTTCTGATCTCTATTCTCACTGATCAATGTGTTATTACTAGTTGTCATCAACTGTAAACCTCTGATTTTGTCATCAATTGTAAATCTCTTTTGTAAACCTCTGATCAATGTGTTGTCAAATTTGTAAACCACCGACAGCGTCATCGTGGCCATGTCGAACTTGACGATGCTGGTGTTGTTGTCGCAGAGGAAGTAGAGCGCGTTCTCCACGAGGACGCTTGGCCTTCTTGCCTGGATGAAGTCGTCGGGGTGGTGATCAATGGAGGCCGGGCTGCTCCATGCCTCGGTCTCCGACGAGTAAAGGGCGGCGTGCGTGGTTCCCGCGGCGTCGATGTCCACCAGCGCCACGCGGAAGGGGTTGCCGCCGTGGCAGTCGAGATGGTTGCAGCCGTCCACGGCGCAGAGCACCGTCGCGCTCCACGGCGTGAACATCCAGTGCTGCGGCGCGCTCGAGTTGATGTTCCTCCAGCACTCCGCCGCCGCCGCTGGCCCCCGTCTCTCAGTCGCCGCTCGCCGAAGAGAAAAAAGAGAGGGAGGATGAGGAGAACATGGTTTATGTGGGCCTCACATGTTACTGGGTCCCATCCATACTAAAATGACAAATGGGTCCCACACATTTTTTTTATTTCTAATGCCACCTAAGCGCCACATCAACGCCACGTGCAAAAAAAAAAAACCTAGTCAATACTGCCACGTAGGCGCCACGTCAGCGAAACCGCACTCTAAAATCACTGAGGAAGTTAAATTGCACCGGTTTTAAGAGTTGGGGGATTGAGATATCCGGTTTTGTGGTTTAGAGTCACGGGTTAGATTTCAATCACATTTAAAGGTCACAGAGTGAACTTATTCCCCAGCAAATAATCGCTCTCGGCCTTCGTAGTTCGTAGTTGGCCTTGTGACTTTTCCTCACTTCTCGATCACACGGCCCATCTGTAAATGCTTTTGAGTTTGGTAGGAAGAATAATAATAGCAGCAGCAGCATCAACAATCATACTCGTAAATCGTACTAATAAGCATAAACAGCAATAAGTTGATATGACACGTTATATATTGATTCATACTCCCTCCGTTTCAGTCACTCGGTTTGAGGTTACAAGGCGTTTGACATTGGACAAAGTTAAATTGCTTTAAGTTTATAATACTATATTAATTTCGTCAAATCAATAATTACATATATTTTTATCATAAATTTATTTTGGGTTAAAAATATTATTACTTTTCTTTATAAACTTAGTCAAACTTTAAACAGTTAGTCAAGACGTCCTATGACCTGGAACGGAGGAAGCAGTTAAGATACGTAACTTTTCACGTTAAGATTTGGGACATAAGGAGTACTCTTTTTTTTTTTATGTTGCAAGCTTACAATCGACCAGCCGCAATTTGCTGTAGTTTTTAAACTTCATGTAAACTTTGCGCAAGCATGTATGGATCGTTCATTCGTTTTATGTGTCCGAGGCATTATTGGCTGTGGCATAGTTTAGTTCCTAATTTTTTCTTCGAACTTTCAATTTTTCCATCACATCAAAACTTTTCTACGCACAAACTTACAACTTTTCCGTTACATCGTTCCAATTTCAATTAAACTTTCAATTTTGGCGTTAACTAAACACACCCTGTGTTTCTATGAGTGAGTTGGAAACATAGTGATTAATTAGCACATAATTAATTAAGTATTAGCTATTTTTTAAAAAATAAATTAATATGATTTTTCAGAAAATACATGGTTTAATAATTTAAGAAAGGTGAATGTGGAAAATGAGTGAAGTTGAAAAGATTGAGTAAAGAAGACAGCCTGTGTGTACAGGTACAATACTATCCAGCAAATAAAAAAATATATTTTTAAAAAGGAGAAAATCTCCAAAGAAAAAAGCAGAGATGCCTTTAGCACAGCGCTAGAGTAGACAGACGCGTCGCTTTCCTCCGCCGCCGCCGCCTCCTCCTCCGCTCCGCGCGGCCGTCTCCCACCTCTCGCGCCTCACCTCCTCCTCCTCCTAAACCCTCGCTAAACCCTAGCCTCCCACCCCCCCACCCCACCGGGGAGCATGCACTCCAGGCTCCTCAGCGCCCCCTCCCACGCCTCCGCCGCCTCCTCCTCCCCCCTCCCCTTCGCCGCCGCCCACCCTTGCCGCGCCTCCTGGACGCCGCGGCCCACCTCCCCGCTGCCGCCTCTATCGCTGCTGCGCGCCACCGCCTCCATGCATCCTTCTCCTCCTCCCGAGGGGTAAGGGCCCGTTTCTCCCTGCTGGTCTTCGAGTTCGTTGCGATTTCTGTATCATTCGTTGGCGCCGCCGCAGGATTTTCACCTGATTGGATTTTTTTTTTTTGGTGTGTGGTGCTTGTAGGCATAGCGACCAGCCTGTGCATGGCGTCACCAACACGGTCGTCGGCGTGCTGGGGGGAGGCCAGCTGGGGAAGATGCTGTGCCAGGCGGCCAGCCAGATGGGGGTCAGGATGGCCATACTTGATCCCCTCGAGGACTGCCCGGCGAGCTCGGTTTGCCACGAGCATGTCGTCGGGAGCTTCAATGATGGCGCCACGGTTAGCGAGTTCGCAAAGAGGTGGTGGCCCCTAGTTGCAAAGCTCTTATCAAGCTTCATTCGGAGAACACTTGTTTACTTTCAAGCTCTTATGGTTTACAAACTGTTGTAAAAAATTCCTTTGGTTGCTGTTAGGTGCGGGGTTTTGACGGTGGAAATTGAGCATGTCGACGCTGTAACACTCGAGAAGCTTGAGAAACAGGGCATCGATTGTGAGCCCAAAGCCTCCACCATCATGATTATTCAAGTAAACTTTCACTTCTTGTTCTAACCATCTCTATATTTCGTTGTTGCTAAATTTTAGTACAAGTTATCTTTAGTACCTTTTTACTGTGAAGATGAAACCTTGAATTACAGTTAGCACTTGTGCTATCTAACTAGCGTTATGCATACTGTTAACATTCTGAGCACTTTTGCTAACTAGGTTAATTAGTTGTGGCCATATCTATTGTTCCTACTTCCTCCAAATAGATTGCTACTGTGCATTTTAGTTATTTATAAATTTTATGGCATTCATACCATGTGTCACCTGGAAATTGTATTTGTGGCGACACCTCTTTTTTAGTACAGTTTGCATACAAAATCTTCATGCTACGGCTTGCTGCTTCATATGCCATTTTATCCTTATCTACTTCATTTGATGCATCCATGTTTTATTTCAGGACAAGTACAGGCAGAAAACTCATTTCTCAAAATTTGGAATTCCGTTACCTGACTTTGTGGAAGTAAGGCACTAATTTCTATCTTGTTAGAAACTAATTGAGTGTCTGATATAAATAAAGTAATACATTCCAGGTAGATACTTTAAGTAGCATAGAGAAAGCTGGGGAAATGTTTGGTTATCCTCTAATGGTCAAAAGCAAGAGATTAGCATATGATGGCCGTGGAAATGCTGTTGCTCACGACAAAAAAGAGCTATCTTCTGTTGTTGCTTGTAAGTTGATAAAAATTAATGGAGCTGCTTTCTTTATTTGAATTCCTAAAATTATACTCTCTCAAGGATGCTGTTACTTGGTTTACAGTAGTATTTGACATTTTTTTCAGCTGTTAATTTGTGGCTTATACTTTTGAACAGATGATGAGCTGATCCACTCAGCTGTACAAGTAAATGAGCTGATGAGGATTTTTTTTTTCATTTTTCCCTTGTAGCTCTTGGTGGGTTTGAGCATGGCTTGTATGTTGAGAGGTGGACATCTTTTGTAAAGGTTAGTATCAATTTAATTTTTTTGGGTCAAATTGGCAGCTAGTAATTTAAATTTCTCTTGGTCAAGTAGACAACTAACGCTCTTTAAGTGTCTCATTAGATTGATCACCAAACACTATAGCTAATTTAACACATTTGTTTCATAATTCAGATATTTTTGAATTTTCTAGGCCCTTTTTTTTTGTAATTTAAATCATCTTCAGTATCATGGTTCACATGGCAGTAGATTTAAGGTCATATGCCTGTGTAGTCACTAGGTCATCGTGTAAATTATGCTACATCCTGGTACCCCTATGGCTCTACAGTCATGCCGCATTCCTTGTTTTCTGTTGATTTTAGGATATCTTCTGCAAGTTCGTTACATGATACTCCCTATGTTCCAAAATATAAGGCCTATAGGTTTTCTACAGTCTCCAATGTAAAATGTTTGCCATTAATTTCTTTCATAATATATTAACAACTACAAATTTGACATTATACAAAAGTGCTTTCAAATACAAGTCTAATGATGTCACATCTATGACACTAAACATATATATTGTTAGCTTGATTCTTAGTCAAGGTTTGCAATGTTGATTTTCTTAAAATTGTGGCATCTTATATTTTGAAACGGAGGGAGTATCTTCTTAATGGCAAAATTGCATTTGAGGTCCGCGAAATATTGCCTTTCGTCTATCAAGCTCGTGTACTTTCTAGTTTGTACAGTGAATTTGGCTTTGAAACTTGGCAACATGATAAATATAGTTGGTTTCAGTGCAGGTCAACTGTTTCAGTATTTTTCAATACCACACGTGCCATATTTTGCAAAAGATACATGGGGATGCATCCTAAAAGGGGGATATATTCTAATCTTTCAGATCATAAAATTTCAAATCTATATTCACTCTACAAAGGCCTGTATTGTATCTGGCACATGGGCCATTTTGTCATCAACAGCAGGTGTAATGAAGGGCCTAATTAAACATATTCAAGTAGTTGAGGGACTTGAGCTAACAAATTTAAAGTATTGAGATTTTATTAGACAAAATGCAGCAGTCCAGGTACCTCAATTGCAATTTTGCCCTTTTGTTTTCAGAGTCGTGTTTGAGAATCAGACAAGAATATAACTGTTTGCTCTAATGTTTACAACATTGTCATGGTTTATGGTTGATGACCTTTTGAATTAAGATACTTCTATTATTTATAGTCTGTTGCTTTCTTTCTTGTTTTAGGAGCTTTCTGTCATTGTGGCAAGGAGCAGAGACGGTTCTACGGTGTGCTATCCTGTTGTTGAAACCATCCACAAGTAAGATTTTCTTTTATGATTACCTTGTGTTATTGATTGGCATTGTCTGTGTTGTGCTTTTGCCCTTTGGAATTCCCAAAATATGAATCCTTAGATTGGAACATCCAGGGATAACATCTGCCATGTTGTTGAGGCTCCTGCCGAGGTGCCTGATAAAATAAAGAAGTTGGCTACTAATGTAGCTGAAAAGGCTATCAAATCATTGGAAGGTGCTGGTGTTTTCGCTGTAGAATTATTTTTAACACAAGATAATCAGGTTTGCTGGGAACATACCTGTATCATAAGTTTTAATCCTTCTTGAGTGGTGTTGGCATATTTATACCCATGTTGATAATTTCACTAGGTTTTATTGAATGAAGTAGCTCCAAGGCCTCACAACAGTGGGCATCACACAATTGAGTCATGTTATACCTCGCAATATGAGCAACATTTACGTGCTATTCTTGGCCTTCCTCTTGGTGATCCTTCAATGAAAGCGCCTGCATCAATAATGTACAACATCCTGGGTGAGGATGAGGTAACTATTGCAACACTATCTTTTTACTTATCCTTGCTATTTGGGCCATGTTGAATGTGGATAATTAGGTTTCCATATTCCTGTTACATTATCCAGTTACCTTTATTGGCATTGATAATTTATGATATAGGGTGAGGCAGGATTTACTCAAGCTCATCAGTTGATTGAGAGAGCTTTGGACATTTCAGGTGCATCTGTCCATTGGTATGCAAAACCAGGTTGGTTCACATACTCATCTGATGGTGCTACAGAAAATGAACGTGCCTGCTTCTTGATTTTCATGTTGCTGTTTATAAAATTGTTTCTTTTTCTTTCAGAAATACGGAAGCAGAGAAAGATGGGCCATATTACAATTGTGGGGCCTTCAAAGTACAGTGTAAAAGCACGCTTAGATAAGTTGCTGCAAAGAGACGCATATGACCCCAAGAAAGGTTAGATTATCACATGATGTTTGTAATTCTGATCTTTGTTAACTTCCCCGTTGATAGTGGTAGTTAATAAAGTATCTTCAGGATTGCTGTGTAGTGCAGCACCATAACCTTTTGTTTGGCCTAGGATTGTAAATGGTGAAGTTCAATTTTGTTGAGCTGTTTTCACCAACTTTAGTTATTACAAGGGCATTTTTATTTATTTTCAATTAAGGAGCATCCTGTTCTCTGGGAGTTGCAAAATAGTAGCTTGGAATGGGCAGTAGATTTTAATAGGATCTATTTTAGCCAAATGAAGAAAGAATAACCTGTCAGGATGGAAAGAGACTGTAGGAGGCATGTGTATTCTGAATCATCTATTTAGAACATCCAAGTCTGAGAATACAGTTGAGGCCTGACAAGGATTTAATTGATAGATATCCATGCACACAGCAAATTATATGGTTTGTCTAAATCATAGGTAACTCTGTTTGATGCTCACCGTTGTTGTTTTATCTGCCATGGTAAAACTAATCATGCTTTGTTGTGCCACCTTCTGACCCACTTTACTTTCTAAAAAGTCCTTTCATGTTCTTCATACCAATGGGCTGACAAAGTATAATAATATTGTACTAGTTGCAGTTAAACCTCGTGCTGCAATAATAATGGGTTCTGATTCTGATCTTCCTGTCATGAAAGATGCTGCAGTAGTATTGAAGAAATTCAACATACCTTTTGAGGTTTGATCTCTGAAACCCTTCCATTGACAAGTTATGAAATGTTTACATGCTAAGTCAAAATTTTCTAAGGATGCAAAATGATTGACTGTCGAATTTTGTAGCTTACAATTGTTTCGGCTCATCGTACACCAGAGAGGATGTACCATTATGCATTATCTACTAAAGAAAGAGGCTTAGAGGTCATAATTGCAGGTGCAGGTGGAGCGGCTCACTTACCAGGCAAGTGTGACAGAAAAAACACATGCATGAATGCATCATAATACTTCATATTAGTTCAAGACCAAATTATGTGCATACTGGTACACTTGTGTTTTGTCTAGATTATGGTACTTGGACTCATTTCATTTCGAGCATCAATTCTTGCTGTATTTTTCTTCCAAACTGAGTAATAAGGAATGCTATATAACTGGATCATTTCATTGTGTTCTATTGTAGCAAGTAGCAAGTGCTAGTTTCACCCTGTGCTTGAGTTGCTGAAATGGATGCAACACACGTTTGGATAATGGGTTCGATGTTGGAAATGTAGACCAAACGCTTATTTTATAAAGAAAATTATTCACAATCCATCTTGATTAATGAATGATAATATATAAAAAAAACTATTTTTGGTTCAGGGATGGTGGCTTCATTGACTTCTGTCCCAGTAATAGGAGTACCCATCATGACTTCATCTTTACATGGAACTGATTCCCTCCTATCTATTGTCCAGGTGAGTATTCTAAGTCTTTCATTAAAAAGCAGAATTGTAGTGTGCGTCATACACAATCAAAAGTTACAACAGTTACTGTTGCAATTGGAAAGGTATTCCTGTAGATTCTGGTGTTGATACTCTCACTAATTTGACAGATGCCGAAAGGTATTCCTGTTGCTACTGTTGCAATTGGAAATGCGGAAAATGCAGGTTTATTGGCAGTTAGGATGCTGGCCTCAAGAGATCCTGAGTTGGGGGACAAGTATGATTTCTTCTTTTCTGCAATTGTCCTGCAAATTTTGAAGTTTGGTTAGTGTAACTGTATGTCTGTATGCAATTGATAATAGACACCTCCCAGCAGTAAGTTGCATATGTTCGACCTGGCTCGCATATGTTAATTCCTGGGGTTATACATAGGCAGTGGTTTGAGCTGATATCTTGCAGGCTGCAGCAAGCCAGTGAGTAGAGACTGATGAGACCTTTGGTAATGTACCATATTGCCAACAAAAGCTAGTCAGTAGAAATGTAGAATCATGAAAAGTTCCCAATTGATCAATCTGTTTGAAAAGAATGATCAATGTTACGTTACAGGTGCTCGAAATTTGCAGTAGGTCATTAGTCATCAGTAGAACTTTCTCATTTTGCCTTGACCTGCTGTAAACCTGGTTTCGTTGTCAGGGAGCACAAGTGATTATTTATTTGGCTAGCATGTTTTCAGTTGTTACACTACGCCTGTCTGATGTATGCTATTGCTTTCAGGGCAACTGAATACCAGCATGATCTGAGGGATATGGTGTTGGAGAAAGCAAAAAGGCTCGAGGAACTAGGTTGGGAGGAATATACCGAGCTATACTTGAAGAAGCATTGATCTCTGCTGCCCGTTTAATTGACATTCTTTTTGATCCAGTGTTGACATAAGCAGATATGGTCCATGGTTGTGGCAAATTCTTAAAATCCTTTTCATTCTTTTCTGCATAGTGTCTTTTTTCTCGCTAATTTATAAATTTCTTCGCTCATTGAAATTTGGTTTTCTTTAGTGGAGGCCTGGAGAGGGCGTGCCGACTTACGAAGTGAAAGATGTCGACGAAACACGGCGCATGAGCATCTCAGTAGCAGAAAGCTTTGCTTGTATAACTGTAACAACATGCCTGCCTGAAATGTTCATGTGGATCTTATGATGATATTTCAGGGAAAAAAATCAACCAATTTTAACGAGTTCTGAAAAAAAAAAGAATTGAGTCCCTAAAGTATCATGTTTTATTAGCAATTTCCTGATGAAGCGTGACGACTGCCGCGCCAGCACAAATCGTGACTACAGATAAACATTGCAACTGAATAGTGTTGCGAAAAGGATATCACACACTCATCTCTATTTCCTGAGATGCATGAACAAGATCTTTGGTAGAATCATCACCATGATCCATCTCGCAAGATGCATGTGTTGCTTGCGTCCCAAACTTTGCATGGATAAAATCAGGCCAGCAAGAGGATACACGAACCTTTTGGCGCTCTGCACTGCTGCGAGCCAACTTTTCTTTCCAACTACCAGCTCCGATGCAAAGCAAATCCAGCTCGCACAGTGCCACACTCTTGTGCACAGTGCCACACTTGTGTATGAAATGATTGATTACAACCAAGATCCCTCTGATGTCATGACATGGGCATTCCAAATCGATCTCGCAACAAGATTAAGTCATCATGGATGCATGCCAATTGCCAGGCACAAGAAGCTTAATTAGGTTCTTTCCATTCTCAATTTGATCAGTAATTAATGGCCATCACGGGAGACGATACGAGTGATCATCTCTTGCTTTTTTTCTCTCGCTATTATGTTCACATAGTATGACGTAGGCGAAACACACGTGCCATGGCATGCGTGATACTGCTTTAGGACTATGTACACATTTTTGAATTTTTTGAATTACATTCCGTATTTCTCCGTTTTTTGAATTTTTTTTGGCTACTATGTACACATTTGATGGGCGCGGCTTGAAGCCGCGCGTATTCATCTAGTTGGCATCAGGGATACAAATGTGCAGCCCATATCAAGCCAAATTGTGCAAGAGAGGGGCAAGACTGGCATACTCAACGTGTATCTAAGAACAGATGGATTCAATCTGGAAGGCAAACGAATTCAAGTGAAACGGGTATGTAGTGTTACATGTACATGGCAAATCAGCCCTGATGTTTCTGCATTGTTTCCAGTTACTTTCCAAACGAATGAGCACACATGCACGCACATATTGCATATACAATTCTTTCCAACAAGCAATGATTATTTGGGGCACCATGATAAGCCTTGGTACACCTTCTACAGGATCTTTCCCTTTCCTGTCGCAACATCAAATTGCTATCCACGTCAGTGTACAAACAGTTGGTAGCATGGTCAAGAGTGACATGTAGTCTCCCTTCAATTCCATGAGCAAAACTGGACAGGTAGTTGTTCCATATATATAGAAAGAATGCATGCCAGATTATAAGAGGATTGTGCATACCTTCAATTAACAAATCATCTGCTTGTGCTGCCCAGATCGAAGTCCATAGTGTAGTCATATTCAATAGTGGGTATGACTGAGGCCATAAACTTCAAAAATATGAAAAGGTACCTGTCCAAAAGAGAAACACAAGTTACAGGCCAGCCAACAAAGAGATGTACTGCTTTTGATCATCCAGGCAGTCAGCAAAAGGTATCTCTGTAGATAATATTACTTGTCAACTTCTGGTTCAACTCCTTGAGACATTAGAACATCAATGATCTTTTTCATCACAGCAGCATGTTTGCATGGATGCACTGAAGCATGCTTGCCTGCTGACAAGTGAGGATGGTCTTCAATAGTCACCTGTGGCAACACAATCCACTTTAGTGTCATCAACATGCAATGTGTAGTAGATGACTTAACTAGTGGTTTGTTGCAATCCACAAAGGAGCTAACACTGAACCTTGAAATTTATCGAACTGTGTGGCATGATGTATATGGCTTAAAATACAGGAACCATCATTACAGACAAACACTTCTAAGTTGTGAGAATGACAGAAAATGACAGTAAAAGGATAGAAAGGAGGCCAATAATTCCGGTATGCTACCATTGCAAAATCTAATTTCTGGAGACATTACTGATATAAAATATTTTTTAAAAAATGAATACTTCAAATACTTTTCATTGGCTTAATGCGTAGTGGTGTACTCTATGACATTGAAAGGCTCGGTTCAAAATATAAGCAGTACTAACAAAATTAAGGATATTGGTGAACCAATCCAGTTCAAGTTGATTCATGTTTCATTTTACATGTCAATAGCAAATACTAAAATGAATGAAAGTACCGTCTTCCGTGCATGATCTTGGCTGATATCTTCAAACACAAGTTCAGGCTTTAGTGGCATTCTTGACTGCAACAACAATAAAATTAAATGAATCAACTTCATCTTCAGGACTGCAACAAGACACTTCTAATGGCAAAATGACTTACCTCATCATATCCGGTAAGCCAGACACGTGGGGTTTGGTAATATTTGTCATATCTGAAATAAGAGAACTACTTGTTACTTTCTTAAACTAGAAGACTGAGGCACACAATACTATGGCAAATAAAAAATAACCAAGAGGACAACATCATTGCTCAGAAGCAACAGGGAGAAGTTCAAGACAACAGCAATATCACTTGCACAATGTTGTACATGCAAATACTTTGAAATCAAGGCATATAATGCCAACTACGATTCATTGTTCACAGATAGTGTGTTATGTGCTATATTTAAGTGCCGAGGAGCAGATATGCAAAATATAAAACTTGGATGGTCGAAAGAACATGTGATTGAAGATAAATCCTGGTAATGTCTATAGAAGTTCTGTGTAAACATATACAGACTCAGAAAGAGGAGGAAGATAATATGGAAACTAATAACACATAATAAGGCAACTAATACTAACCAACTAACAAAAGACTTAAAAAGCATGAAGATCAAATAAAAGAGCTTACGTGATGCTAACGTCATATGTCCTAGTACGAAGGATGTTGTCATCTTCAGGCTCTTCTGCGACAAAATATGAAGGTTGAGCGGTAGCCTAAAATAAGATGACGAAGGCAAAGCTGGAATCAGTAATGACTATGAACATTATGAGCCTTCCTTAACCACATCGAAGAAAGGATCACAGCCTTTCTTACCACTGAATCATTCCCTGAGTCTTCATAAGTGTCCATGTCTGGTATATCCTCCTCTTCTTCAGCCTTCTTACCAGCACTGAAATATGAGGGAATAGACTTTATCCCTTCAGTTTTCCCTATATCCAATGTATCCATCGATGGTATGTCTTCCTCCTCTTCTTGCTTTGATGCTATACATTACCAACAGAACAAAAGGGAGTTTAGCCTATACAAAAGAGAGTGCGCGAAACACTGAAACAAGGCATTCTGAGAGGTCAACCTTGCACTCCATGTGTGGCAAGCCAGCCTTCACCGTCCTCATCATCACCGAGAACTACCTCAGCTCCTGCTGCATCATACTCTTCTTCAAGCGAAACAGCACGTCTTAGGCAAGGCACTGCAAGCAGAACCAAAATTTCAATTACAATGAGACATATATCAAATTCAAACCGTTTCAACTAAAACACGAAGGAAACCGAACTTTACTAGTTGTTATCCTCCAATATAGCATTCCAAAACATGGTGGCCTAATCAAGACCACTAGGAAGTGGAAACTAAGCATAACAATCATGCCACCCAATGCAGCATTCCATTCCATCGCATGTACAAGATGAAATAGAAGCAATCCAGAATCAGCATACCGTTCCTGGTGACGAGAAATTGCTTGTCAGGTGGGAGATACGGCTTCCTCTTGCTCGGATCGCCCGCCTCCCTACACAGGGGGATCGATGAGACGCCACCCAAACCCAAACCCAAACCCAGCAATTGAGGGGGAGCAACGGAGGGGAGGAGAGAGCTACCAGGACCAGGTGGGGCACTTGGAGACGAGGTTGTCGCCGGCGAGGATGAACTCGGGGACGGAGAGGACGCCCTTGTCGAGGAAGGCCGACACGGTGCGCGGGCCCGTGACCCGCTCCACCGTCCCCTTGTAGAGCTCGTACACCTTCTGCTTCACCTGCATCCTGCTGCTCGCCGGAGAAGGTTTGCTTCCGCTCGTCGCCGGAGACGAAGACGAAGCGTACAAGGGAGGGGGGGGGGGGTTGCCTCCAGCGGAAGGAAGGCACCAATCTGCAGAGGCGGATCCAAATTTTTTGGGGGAACGAACGAACAAACAAACTGAAATTAAGAGAGAGGTTAAGGCTCTGAAATTAAGGAGGAGAAGAGCTGATCTAGAAGATGAGTCAGAGACGGGGAGGAGATTTTAAGATTTTCGTTTTCCTTACGCAAGGGGAAGGGGAAGATATACTACTGGAGTACTCCACGGCTTTTAAAACTGACTGCCCTTGCAAAGTTGAGAAAATTAATTAATCTCTTGAAAACGAAATAGGACTTGAGTTTATGTGAAATTCGATCTAGATCCCTCACGAACAGTACCTACCTCTGAGATGTTATTTTAAGTTTAAGCCCTTACTAAAGCCGGATATTCCCCGGGAAGAAGAGAGGAAACAACGCGAACTAGGACTGCGCTTGAAAATGTGAAGGCCGAGGGGTTTTTTCGCAAAACACCTTTCCCCTCTCCCTCTGTCGCCGCCGTCTCCGGCCTCCATGTGGTCGGGGGATGAGGATCGGACCACCCCCGTGCGCCGGTCAGCGTCTCCTTCCCGGTCTCATATGCCGCCTGCGCGCCGCTCGCCGCCGCGCGGTCACTGCCATGCGGCGCCGCCATGACGTCGCTCGACTTCGAGACATCTATCTTCAACAAGGAGAAGGTCTTCCTCGCCGGCCACGAGGAGGAGGTTCGCTCTGCTTGCATCCCTTCTCCCTTTTGGATTTGTTCTCTCTTTGGGGGTTTGTTTATCTCGCTGAATTGATTGTGTCACAGTATATATTATAGTGAGGGGTGGGAGGAACCTGTTCCCGCTGCTTCCCTAGGCGTTTAAGGCCATCAAGCAAATACGGAGTATGAATGATTGTCTTAAAAAAATAATCGTTTTCTTTCTTGTCTTCAAACTTATTTTCCCGTTTCATTTAGATGATCAGTGTCCCACATGTGACATTTTCCAATCACTAATTGATCAATTGCACAACAAATTGCTTGAATAACGAACAAATTGATGTGACCAATGTGGTGAATGGGTTGTCAATTTATTTTTTTACATGGATTTCTCATGCTACTCGGGTTCAGGACAAGAAAACCCACTTGTATTGTGCATAACAGAGTTACCTTTGCTTTTTCAGGGGCCTGCACAAGCCCAGAACCTGAGGGATTCACTAGCTGAAGCGAAGTCAGACATTGTTCTACATAAGAATTTTGCAGACCGAGGCTTGGCCACCGAGGCGCAAGCGCAGATGGAGCAGTTCGAGTAGCCGCGGTCATGGATGGAGCTAGCGCTGGTGTTGTCATGGTGATGCTGACGAAGGCGATGAGCTCTCACAGACGCCGTCTTCTTCTCCTTACCCAATGTGACATGCTTTGCCGGTAACCGGTTGATTTTTTTTGTGGTCATTGCAAATCAGTAAATGCACAACTTCTTCTATTTTGTTCTTTGCCCAGGAAAAATATGTTGATCTTTATGTGTTTCTTTTGCTGCAGTTCTGATAAAGGTCAAGAAAATGAAGCCGAAAGTTGTAAATAATATGAATAAGCAACGCATCACTAGCCATACTGTATGCAAACAGAGGTATGAGCGTACAGAACTAATAAATAGTATGTTTGTTTATTGTTTATGCCAAATTCTCTTTGTGAATTGCTGGTATTTCCTTCATCGATATTCCCATAGATCCTAGGGTAAGCTGATTTGCCATGAGCTTGTGGGGTGAATAGTTTTTGAGGTGAAGCTCCTTCGTCTGACATGTTTGATGATGTTCCATGCCTTGAGGACCTCATTGCAGGAGATACTGGATAAGGGGGAAAAGGGGAAAGACAAAGATAGGTCCTGACATGACGGACGCATTCACTAGAGTACTAACAGGTGCGTTGGTGATCTCCCTATCACTAGAGCATTTTCCCCCTGTTTATCATTGATGATGTAGCTCCGAGAAGAGATTTACAGATTTTGGTAATTTACCAATTCCTTTTTCCTTTTGGATCTACATGGTTCTGTATAATAGCAGATAATATATAATTATATTGCACTAGATTATCAATCGAGTGGCTGATTCATACACTGGCCACCTGATGGATTCAAGGCTTCTGTGTTGCCGGGCATTGTAGGTGGTTAGTGCCGTTAAGAACACATGCTAGATGGAGGAAGGGCTGATGAAAAGAGAAGGATACAAGCCACAGTTGCTTTGTTACATATATGAATTGGAAGCTAGAGTGAGGGTGGCGCACCTGCTGGGTTCAAAATCCCATTAATAAGTGTTGTTATTTGACCTACCTATTGCTATTCTTTAATATAAGCATTTGGTACCACAAGCATTTTTTTTTCTTTTTTAACTAATGAAGCGGAAAGCCCAGAGAGAAACTAGTGATTAAATCATTTAACACTAAAACAGTTGGTCTACTCATGATCTCTATTGGAACGGCCTGCTTTTGTTTTTATCCCAACGGAGTTGATTCTGGTGCTGATACTCTCACTAATTTGACAGATGTCGAAAAGTATTCCTGTTGCTACTGTTGCAATTGGAAATGCAGAAAATGCAGGTTTATTGGCAGTTAGGATGCTGGCCTCAAGAGATCCTGAGTTGGGGGACAAGTATGATTTCTTCTTTTTTTGCAATTCTCCTGCAAATTTCGAAGTTTGCTTAGGGTAACTGTATGTATGTATGCAATTGATAATAGATACCTCATAGCAGTAAGTTGCATATGTTCGACCTGGCTCACATATGTTAATTCCTTAATTCCTGGAGTTATACATAAGCAGTGGTTTGAGCTGATATCTGCCAGGCTGCAGCAAGCCAGTGAGTAACTGAGTAGACTGATGAGACCTTTGGTAATGTACCAAATTGCCAACAAAGCTAGTCAGTAGAAATGTAGAATCATGAAAAAAGTTCTCAATTGATCAATCTGTTCGAAAAGAATGATCAATGTTACGTTACAGTTGCTCGAAATTTGCAGTAGGTCATTAGTCATCAGTACAACTTTCTCATTTTGCCTTGACCTGCTGAAAACCTAGTTACATTGTCTGGGAGCACAAGTGATTATTTGGCTAGCATGTTTTCAGTTAGGGACCTATTTTCAGTTGTTACACTACACCTGTCTGATGTAGGCTAATTAAGTTGCCTCATAAAAAGTAGATGTTAGCACCCGACTTGCTTTCAGGGCAACTGAATGCCAGCATGATCTGAGGGATATGGTGTTGGAGAAAGCAAAAAGGCTTGAGGAACTAGGTTGGGAGGAATATACTAAGCTATACTTGAAGAAGCATTGATCCCTGCCTGCCCATTGTATTGTCATTCTTTTTGATCCAGTGTTGACATAAGCAGATTGACCCATGGTTGTGGCACATTCTTAAAATCCTTTTCATTCTTTTCTCTTTTTTCTCGCTAATTTATAAATTTCTCCGCTCATTGAAATTTGGTTTTCTTTAGTGGAGGCCTGGAGAGGGCGTGCCGACTTACAAAGTGAAAGATGTTAACGAAGCACGGCGCATGAGCATCTCAGTATCATAAAACTTTGCTTGTATAACTGTAACAACATGCCTGCCTGAAATGTTTGTTTTAGAGGATGCCTGAAATGTTCATGCGGATCTTATGATGATGTTTCAGGGAAAAAAATCAACCAATTTTAACGAGTTCTGAAAAAAGAAAAAGAATCGAGAACCTGTGGAGTATCATGCTTTATTAGCAATTTCCTGATGAAGCGTGACGACTGCCGCGCCAGCACAAATCGTGACTACAGATAAACATTGCAACTGAATAGTGTTGCGAAAAGGATTTCCTGAGATGCATGAACAAGATCTTTGGTAGAATCATCACCATGATCCATCTCGCAAGATGCATGTGTTGCTTGCGTCCCAAACTTTGCATGGATGAAATCAGGCCAGCAAGAGCATACATGAACCTTATGGCTCTCTGCACTGCTGCGAGCCAACTTTTCTTTCCAACTACCAGCTCGCACAGTGGCACACTCTTGTGTATGAAATGATTGATTACAATCAAGATCACTCTGATATGTCATGACATGGGCATTCCAAATCAATCTTGCAACAGATTAAGTCATCATGGATGCATGCCAATTGCCTGCAGGCAAGAAGCTTAATTAGTTCTTTCCATTCTCAATTTGATCAGTAATTAATGGCGATCACGGGAGACGATATCGATTGATCATCTCTTGCTTTTTTTTTTTGCTCGCTATGTTCACATAGTGCTCCCTCCGTTTCGAAATGTTTGACACCGTTGACTTTTTAGTACATATTTGACTGTTCGTCTTATTCAAAAACTTTTGTGAAATATGTAAAATTATATGTCTACATAAAAATATATTTAACAATGAATCAAATGATATGAAAAGAATTAATAATTACTTAAATTTTTTGAATAAGACGAACGGTTAAACATGTGCTAAAAAGTCAACGGCGTCAAACATTTTGAAACGGAAGGAGTATAATGTAGGCGAAACACCCGTGCCATGGCATGCGTGACACTGCTTTACGAGCACTGCTACTAATCAATTAACACTGGACGCTATTATATATCAGCACTGCTATACGTCCGACTCCCATCCGACCCAACCTCATCTGCCAATCGTTTCGCTCCACGCAGACCAGCTTCTCTCCATGTGGGCAAGGGCAATTAGCAGCTAAGAGCTGGTCGGACAAGAGTCGTACGTCATAGTCGTGTGTATAGCATTTTCGATTATATATTGCTGTGTTGCTATCAGTGATGCCCATGCTGAGTTGTTATTAGTTGTTGTTCGTGTGTATGTGTGCTAGTTGTAGGGGTGGCCATCTTTTTGTACCTTAGCATACACGAGGGCATCGTGTATTTAGCAGTTTTTGCCTGCACCGTTGGAGCACTTCACCCAATTGCTCGAATATGATTGATTTGTTGATGTGTTGGATGTGTGGTTTAAGGATCAAGCAAGATTACTGTGGACGACGCCTACCATTACTCACCAGCTTAAGTTTTTTTTATAAATTGAATGCTACTACATACTTGCAACACAAATATACTCCCCCTCTGTCTCTAAATATTTGACGCCATTGATTTTTTAAAACATGTTTGACCGTTTATCTTATTTAAAAAATTTAAGTAATTATTAATTCCTTTCCTATCATTTGGTTCATTGTTAAATATACTTTTATATATACATATAGTTTTAAATATTTTACAAAAGTTTTTGAATAAGACTAATGGTCAAATATACTTAAAAAAAAGTTAACGGCATCAAATATTTAGGGACGAAGGGAGTAGTGTTGAATAAAAATAAAATACAGTTTAATTTCATGTTTGAGGCATGAGGGGGTTTCTTCCGGAAGGTGAGTATAAGTATATACTCACTGCATCCCAAAATATAAGTATTTTTGGACTTCGACATAATCTTCGAGATACTACTTTGACCAACAATATCTATAAAAGATGTTTTAAATAACAAGAGTTCTATATTATGATAGTTTGTCTAAGGATGATAAATCTAATAACATCAATTTTACATGATTGATATTTTTTATATTTTGTTTGCTATTAATAGTTAAAGTTAAAAAAATGTTTGACTTGATACTATGCTAAAATTGCTTATATTTTGGGACGGAGGGAGTATTGAATTGAATTCTCTTTCTAATTAGTTTTATGTTTTTAGGGTATAACTGACTCGTGAATATAACTCAATAACGGTGTATGTAGCATATGATCGAACTTAATTCTAGGGGCGGAGCGCCTGATTCATCCATTATCTTTTTAAAAAGCGCTTAAATTTAATCTTTACTATAGTTGCTTTATACTTTTATTAATTTCGTATAAACTATACGCACCCCCCTCCCCTTTCTTTTCCTCGCTCGCGAGAAGTGTACTAATTTTTATCCTTGCATATATAAAAAAAGCTAATTAAAACCCAAAATTGGGTATGTTCCTTGCATCCATTTGTGATCAGCTAACATAAGCTTTTCTTCTCTCTTTACACCTTTAGCATGATGCATGATTACTCATTGATAGTGTGATGATAAGTTGATAACACACACATCAACACTGCCATTTGCATGGGATGCATGAACCGAGCCTAGATGCCTTCGTTTTCCTAGGGAACTTTGCTTTGCGGCTCAGTTGGGGTGCATTGCATGTTGGACATGGACAGTGCCACATATTAGTGAATTGATGTTAACTAAAGTGCAATCTTTTACACCCTTTCCGGCCTCTTAACTGAACTGTAGAGATTGCCCCTGTCACAAGCTTCCCTTTCACACATAAGATATGGTGCCCTACGATTAGGAGAACCTGCATGCTCCTTTACAAGCTAGCTAGCTACATGCAGTGCAACTAGCTAGGAGAGTATCACCTGTCACCTTCTTCTAGGTTGCAAATTTTTAAAAGATGAGATTCAAGTTGCACTTTTTAAACTTTAGTTACCACTTTTGAGTGGTTAGATGCTCATCACTCTGTGCCTATAAATATGGGGACATGATCACATCTTGATGCATCTATCATATATTGTGGATCAGACTAACATATACACAGGTTCCTGAAGATCAGATAGATGCAGCACCAGGAAACTGCAGTTATCCAAAGAAACACAAGCAGGTTCTCTCCCAAGGTAAAAGAAAAATCTCAACTCCCAAGTTCTTCCCAAAGACAAATCATTTTGAAGTTGTAGACATAAATATTAGACTCTGCATATATATGTTGTTTGTGTTGATTCTTAATACCATCTAAGTAGTTAGTTTGCTCTAATTCCCACAACACATCATCACTGATGTCGTCAGTTTCACATTGACTGGCCATTGGCCAATACTGTGGATATGCACGAAGCACAATAACATAACATGTATTTATTCATATATCAAATTAGTTATCCACCCTAATAATTAAGTTGAAATTTGAGCATCGTACGTGGAATGATTTTGAATTATCCTAAGTCTCAAATTGACTATGGCCCTACTTAAAGAGATATATACGGAGATTTTGAGAATTAGCTAGTACGTATCGATCGAGATGGTGAGAATGTGGAGAAACCAAATTTTTGACTAGTTCATTTTCTGGTTCTGTAGAATGCAAATGTGAATCCGGACTGGTATTCTGGGAATAGTTGTAGCTGCCGACTGTCAAAAGAAGAACTATATTTGGTTCTAATAGCATATTAAGTTTTACATAGTAGTTGATTCTTCTATACAAAATAAAATTTGTTGATTCACTAATATAATTTAATTTGACAAGCAGAGACAGATAATGAGACATCCAGAAATGAAAATACACTTCTATATTCTCATGCATGCGTCCATATATACAAGTCTAAGTCACACATGCGTTTTTTCAGGGAGAACAAGAGCTTCACGTAGCCAACGACTCACAAAGCTCAAACAAGATGGAGAAGCTCATCATCATCAAGAGTAGCGGCAGCGGCAGCGGCGACGCACGCCATGACGACGGCGGCGGCGAGGTGGAGACCGTGCGGTGCGCGTGCTGCGGCGTGGCGGAGGAGTGCACGGCGGCGTACATCGGCGGCGTGCGCGCGGCGTTCTGCGGCGACTGGCTGTGCGGGCTGTGCTCGGAGGCCGTGAAGGAGACGGCGCGGCGCGACCCGGCGCCGGGCGGCGGCGTGGCGGCGGCGCTGGCGTCGCACGCGGCGGAGTGCAGGGACTTCAACGCGACGACGAGGCTGAACCCGACGCTGTCGCTGGCGGGCTCCATGCGCCGCATCGCGCGGCGGAGCTTCGACAAGAGGACGTCGGCGTCGTGCCAGGAGCGGCGCCTCGGCGCGGCGGCGTCCAAGGCGGTGGCGCTCGCCAGGTCCGCCAGCTGCGACCCGCGCTTCTGCAGCCTCCTCGCCGCCGACGTCATCAACGGCGGCGCTCCTCCCGGCGATCGGTGCAGATGATCGAGCTCCATGGTGTTCGATAGTAATTAACTCGATCGCTCTCTATCGATGTTAGTATGTGGTTGTATATATGTGTAACCAATCGTATTTTCTAAGTAAATGCTCTCTCCGCCTCATGAAAAATCAATCTAATACTGGATGTGATATATTCTAATACTACGAATCTAGATATATCTTTGTCTAGATTCGTTATATTAGAATGTGTCATATCTAGTTCGATTCGTTTTTTTGGCAGATAGGGTATATATCACGCTATATATTAACCAAGCTAGCTAGCTTAGATCCAACGGTAGTGTACTGTCACTGCATCAGTGCGGCCCAGTAGACAGTAGTGTTAGTACTCCTACCTAATATTGAACATGTACGTATGTGGATCAGTTGCATTGTATGATCTGAGTGCACTGTAGTGTCTAGCTACATGAGTATTGTACTCTCTCCATCCGTTTTTTAATATACGATACAATTAACTTTTTGTGAGATACATTTAACCAATTAATTCATATTTTACTAAAAAATCATTTAATTATGATTAAATATTCTTTCATCACGATTTATATTTTCTATGTTTTTTAAAGACGAATGATCAAACTTAGTTTAAAAGAAAAAAAAATCAATGGTGTCATTGCATGCGTGACGTAGCAAACTTTGGTTTGACGCGCGGCCTGTGGTTTGCAACGTGGGATTTCAGGCTTTCGGCCCAGCCCAACGTCGCGGTGGGCCGAAGCTCGTTTGCGCGGCGCCGTATTTGTTTGCTTCGAAAATAGGGGTGAAACGGTACACGGTTATTTTATTTCGATTCCAAATACCGTCCTTAAATGATCTTTTTTTTTTCCATCCGGAATTTCGAGAGAAATTTATCGCACAAACTAAACCATCAAAATAAGTCTGATGTGTTTCATCAAAATAGTTACATATAGTATATGATTGTTATGAAGTATTGTCAGTGTTGATATCATGCGATGATATTTTACGAACGCGCTAGTGCTGTAAGTGTTGATTGTTATGAAGTGCACGTTAATATCTTAAAAGAAACACATAATACAACAGTGCTGTGGCAAGTGGAGATCGATGATGCCAATCCCATCGAGCTCCTTAGGGCCAGTCAATGAGACAACTGCCTTGATGAACAATCTTGCCGTATGGGCACGGATCAATGCAAAAACCCTTTCTCCACTAGGAAACACGCTCCTCTGGTGCTAGGAGTCCTCGAAGCAATACTCCTCTAGATCAGCTTATCACGCTTTTTTGCTAAGGAGAGAATCCTTACTTGACAAGCAAATATAGAAGAACCACACGCCGCCACGATATCGGTATTTCAATTGGTTGGTAGTCCACCGTTGATGTTGGATTGGTGATAGGCTGAGCAAGTGAGGGCCGACACTGCTTGGTCCGTAGAAATGCGTCTTTTGTAATCAAAGTGAGGAGTCAATTGACCAACCTTCTGATCCAATGCCGATAAACACTATAGCTATGGTGGATAGTTCTATATGGCACTGGATCAAATGAGCAATCCTTCCATATTATGGTGAGACGCCGAGACAAAATCATAGCGGCCCAAAGATGAGGGTTTGACACCATCATCATCTTGATGGCCTACACGATATGGAAGTAACGAAACAACCGGGTTTTCAATGGTTAATGCAAGACCATGCAGGGAATAGCGGAGCTAGCAACATCGGAGGCCATGCTCTCGAGGGAGGCAGGAGCGCCCATCTAGGTGGAGCGTACATAGTTGTTGCGCCTGTTTGTAACAACTTTTTCCGATGTTAATACAAAATATATAATGGAGTGCTTAAATTAGTTACTTGCTTCTTTGAATTTTCGCTAATAATTACGTATACGATGTTAATTTATAAAGTTTGCATATGACTGTGACCAGCTTGTTTGCCTTCACAATAAGTTGTTCCCGAGTTAGTCTCTATCGTTCTGATTCCATTTCAAAGAAAAAAAAAAAGAAGAAGCCATTTTTATCCCTACTCCGAACAGAGAATGTATCCACTATCGATCCGTACAAAAACTAGCACCGCGGTTCTCAAAATCCAAAACATTTGTACACGCTGTTTCATGAGATTACGTACGTAAATTGCACTAGTTGTAATATTATATATCCGTTTTGCATTGGGGTGTATAATGAAATGAAATCAAAGGAAGGTCCAGTTGATGAACATGAAGCAGATGCAGTGGGCGCCGCCGCCGTCGCCGTCGACCACCTTCCACGCCACCGCCTTCTCGTACGACGCCGCCCTCCCAACGCTCGACACGCACACCCCTCCCTCCATGCACGCCATCCCCTGCAATTTAGTTAATCGCGTGCCACTAATTAATCAATTTGCAACTGATGAAAGCCTCGGTGAAATCTTACTGTATCTTCTATTGATAAGATGATAAGATTATTAATGCATTCCATGTAATGTACTCGCTCCATTTTAGATTATAACTCATTTTTGACTTAAGGTCAAAGTCAAACTGAAAAAAGTAGTAACATTTTTAACCTAAAACAAATATATTATAAAAATATATTTAATTATTAATTTAATAAAACTAATTTGGTGTTGTAAATATTACTATATTTATCTACAAACTTAATTAATCAAACTTGATCAAACTTGAAGTAGTTTAATTTTGATCAAAGTCAAAATTACTTATTAATCTAAAAGTATCTTTTTTTATGTATGAAAAATAATTTTTGCATTAGTACTTATCTCATGTCAGTTTGTGATATGATTATACCTGCTCCATGATGTTGGGGAGCTCTGTGCACAGGTTCTTCCTCCCTTGATCGTCGAAAACTTTCTCCAGCGTCATGTCTTGGAGCGCCACCAGAGTTGTTTCGAGCATGTCGAGGCCAGACTGGTTTGCAAATGTGAACACTGGCATCGCCTACATGAAAAATCAGATGGTTAAATGGTGCGTTACACTGTCAACTTTAAGGTGAATTTGTGTCAAAACAAAATTTCAGTCGAGCTGTAGCAAAGATTCATAAGTCCCGGAAATAAATTCAGAGAACAAACAATCCTCCATGCATAGCAGTATGAGTACTGGCCCCATTCGAGTTTAAGATAAAAGATTACGGACAGGTAAAATGAGAAAGTTATTAACATTTAACATCTCGTTAATTAAATTTTAATTATTTAAATTTAAAAATAGATTTATCTTATATTTTAAAGTTTCTATATAAAAATTTTCGTACGAAATATACAGTTTAACAGTTTAATTAACATGCTTATAAAAATTAAGATAAAATCTGTATCTAAATAAGAAAAAAAGGGGGCTGAAGAAACCTTGAGAGAGCAGCAGAGTATGGCACTCGGATGATGCCAAACTGCTTTCAGAATCGATTCATTGCTGCTGTTTGCATCTACAGATTTGATGAGTTCATCTCCAAAATGAAATCTGTATAAGCATAGCATCATCAGTTATGAAGAGTGAACTTTTTTTTTTCGTTCAAAAAAGAGTGAACTTTTTTTAAAAAATCTTGCGATGATGGCAAGTGAAAATTTCTTGACAGATATGAACTGTATCACACAAGCAGCTGCGAAGCCACAGACCTGTAGCTCTGGCAAATCCATCTGGGCAGCGTCGCCGCCTCCGGAGTCACCGGTGAGAGCTGCGCGGCGGCGGCGCCGGCGCCGGGAGGGACGAGGCGGGAGGACGAGAGCGCCACGGCGATCCTCTGCACCGACGAGATGATGTTGCGCATGTACTGCCGCGCCATGGCGGCCACGCTGTCCTGCAGGTGGCCGTCGAACGCGAACTGGAACGCGATCGTCATCACCGCCTTGGAGCTAGAGCTCGCCGCAGCAGCAGCACAGCCGCCGCCGCCGCCATTGACGCCGCTGATCCTGCTCCGTGGCGTCGCGGCTTCGAGCGTGGACGCGAGATCCAACGTGCAGTTCGGGCTCGACGTGTCCTGACATTTGCAGGGAAAGAATATTCAGAACAACTTCTTTTTAAACATAAAAATTCAGAAGATTTGATTTGAAACTATTGTGTGAGATTTACTTACGAGAGGAGAATCGATTGGGATGATGCGGAAACCGGAAGGCAGCAGTGGGGAATCATCACTGAACGATGCGTCGATGGGCGCAAAGATGAGCTCTGAACATGTTCCTGCACTGCTCTCCTCTACTCCATTGTACATCTGCCATTGCAATCAGGCCAAGAACACAAGTTTTACAGAGGAAAAAAAAAAGAAAATGATTCTTCAACTGGTGATAAGTCTCATGAATCAAGAAGTCACCTGCAAGAGGAACAGATCACGGTGCACCAGTGTATCTTGGTAGTTGCTGGCGTTTCCTAGCTTGATAACTTCCAGGAACTGAAAAACAATAGATGGTTGCATCAAAATAATTGAGCAGGAGGACAGAATTGGACAGGACCTTTTATGTAACTGACAGACAGTAGAAGATGAACTTACCTCTTCAGGTTCAAACGTGTGTGCTAAAGGAAGTATGACCTGACCACTGAATCCTCCAAGACGGGACATGGGTAAATTGCAGAAGTTTGGTTTCATCGTGGAGGCGAAGAATGCGTCTAAATTGCTGTCGGCCCACTGTGACCGGTGTTCGCGCAAAAATTGCAGTAGTGATGGAGGAGAGACATCCTAGCAAACAGCAGAAATATTGTATGAAAAAAACTGGACATGATCAACCAAACAAAAAAAATATTAATTCTAGTTTCATAGTGAAGCTAACCTGCAACAGCATGGATGCCTTGGCACAAAGAACACCGGTACTGACAATAGGGAGTCCACTGCTGAATGTTGCATTGCAACCGATCACTTTGGATGAATTGACAGAGATGCAAACATCGTCGACGCCATCGCTCTCGATCACGGACCATCCATCATCGGCAAGCCCATTGAGAGCTTCATTGAATCCTCTGAAAAGAGAGCATGCAAAAAAAAAATTCACACTTTTGAGCTGGAGAAGATTCATGGCAAGAACCAAGAAGCATCTGCTGTTCAGGAGTCAGTCCTACCTGGTGAGCTTTTGGCTCAGAGCACGCAAAGCCGCAGGCTGCCTTCCCCATCCTGTGATCACAGAACGTGTATCTTCGTGTGCAACCTGCCTCAGGTAGCGCAAAGCCTGAATTTTGCATAACTGAATTAGTCAAGAATTTCTACAAATAAGCAAGAACAGAGTGCTATAATTACTGTACCGCCATCGAGATCTTCTGCGCAACCATGGCAGAAGATTCATACAAAGGTCGTACAACTTCAGGCACGCTCCAAGGCTGCGACCACAAAATGGCTTAAATTTCATTCTGCTAGATGAATGAACTATTTGGACAAGAAATTGTAATGGTTAGTACCTCGAGGTCCATATGATCAACGATGTGTATCACGCTGCCTCCAACATCGCTAGGCCGGATCAAGAACCCACTGGGAAGCATCTCACCTCTGATAAAAGGCTGGACAAGTGGCATGCTTGGGCCTCCTTGCTTGCTACTGAGTGATCTCTCACACACCTTCAGAATTCAGAGCAAGAACGTTCAGGCAAGCAGGCAGGACATCATAGTGACACACAAATACTTTGGTACTAATTACACATGGATAATTTGTTTTACACGCTCCATGATCAGAGCAGCTCACCACTAAGCTTCCATCGTCGAGAATGGAGGTGTACCGCAGCAGCCAGAAGTCGCGAGCCGGCGCCAGCGTCGTCGGAGCATAGAGCTGAAGATCGAATACAAATTTCAGCTTCAGAATTTCAGGTTCAGGTTCAGAATTTTCAGGCTTGTGTGTTCTTGCCTGCATGTAGAGCAGCTCGATGGTGCCGTTGGCGCCAGCAGGGAGCACGTTCACCACATCCATGGACCGGCAATCGCGCAGCCACAGCGGCCGATCCTTGAGTATTTCGGCAACCTGATGAAATCATTGCCACAACTCATCAATCAACCAACCAACCAATCAATCGATCGATCAGAAATACTGTTGCTTATTGCAGAAGTGACAGTGACAAGAAGGTTAATTACCTTAGCGGGCTCCATGCCGACGAGGCCGCAAGCTCGCGCGGCGACGCCGGCGCAGCCATGCGAGATGGCGATGATTCCAATGGAATCCGGACCAGGCTGCAAACGACGACGACGAAAATCAAATCAAGCTTTTGCAATTGAGAAGTTGGTGACGATGAAGAGCAAATTGTTGTGACCTTCATCCCAGGCATTTGGAGCCACTCGACGGCGGTTCCGGTGGCCTTGGACAGAAACTCCGTCAATGTCTCCTCCGCGATCGACATCAGCCTGCGCAACAACGAGTAAGCTAGAGCTGCACCTGCAAGAACGATGGCGCAGGTGGTGACGTCACGTACCCAGCTGGGCTTGCGTCGCGCGGCGGCGGCTGGACGACGTTGTGCTGCTGCTGCTGATGATGATGGCCGCTGGTGACGACCGACTCGCAGCTGGTGTCGGTGGCGGTGGCGAGCTGGTGGCCGGCGGCGGCGGCGGCCTGAGGAGGGAAGGCAGGAACTCGCCGCATCATCCCGGCGGCGGCGACGCCGTGGCGGCCGTGGTCGTAGACGAGCTGGGAGACCTGCTTCTGGAGGCGGTCGTTCTCCTCCATGAGGAGCTTGTTCATGGCGGTGAGCTTGCGGTTGAGCGCCTGCAGCCGCGACGACTCCTTGCGCTGCTTCTCCCGGCACCGGCGGTTCTGGAACCACACCTTGATCTGCTTCGGGTCCACGTTCGCCAGCGCCGGGCACTCCCGCACCAGCTGCTGCCGCCGCAGCGAGCTCGGCTTGGGACACTCGTAGTACAGCCTCTCCAGCGCCTCCACCTGCTCCGGCGTGTACCTCACGTACTTGCTCGCGTCCATCGCCGCCGCCGACGCCACCATGCCAGATCGATCGAGCTCAATGCAAGCAAGCTAGGCTATAGCCGAGAAGGCGTAGAGCTCGATGGCGACATCGAGGTGAGGGGGGGAAGGAGAGCTTCGTGTTGTTCGTCGTCTCGTCGCCTTTAAACGCGAGGACGGCGGTGGCGCGGCGCGCGCGCGCTAATAAATTGCGGGAAAAAGGAAAGTTCCCGGCTGCGACGTCGCCGGCGAATGCACATTTGGCACATGTAATTTTCTTTTTTTTTTAAAAAAAAAAACAAACATTTTTTCAAAAAATTTTTATATTCCATCCATCCCATAATATAACCTAGAATTAGATAAGACATTTCATATTACAACGAATCTGGACGGATACTATGAAATGTCCAATCATTCTAGATTGTTATAGGAGATTGGCGCATGTAATTTCGTAGGAGTACTCTCCATCCATCCATCCATCAAAACATTATGATGATCTTCGTGTGTCATTATCACTTTACCATCAGAGATTGTGAGGCCCGCCTAAGACCATGGTGTGTAACTCTTCCACGAGGCATTTCTGTAAGAGTAATGCTATACTGCACCCTCATAAGATTATTTTTATCATTTCCCGTTTGTTCCAAAATAAGTTTATTTCTGAGTATTTACTACATCGAATTTTGTGAAAGTAGAGAATAAATGCATTGAGAGCAAATAAAGATAGAACTAATTATATTAAAATTTAATAAAGTGTTCGCGTAAAAACTTTTAATAAAGTGAGAGTATTATAGTTTTGTTTATTTTATACTGGTATATGTGTAATAGGTGAAAAATGAACTTATTTTGGGACCGAGAAGCGAGAGTATGTACTTACAAAACCTTACTGAACTTTTATAAACAGTTTTTTGAATTTAGTAAGCAATTAGTTATGAAATATCAAGAAACAATCGTAGCATGCCACATCAGTTTTTCTAAGACGCATGTAAATAAGTTTCTTTGACGTGTATCATTTACCTTTCTGTAAGGGGGCTTCTTTGAAATGCTTTAACCTCTCTGATTTCCGTGTGAATTGAATTGGTTCATGTGAAATTCTTATTAATATTTGTTAAGAAAAGCATTTGGTCTGAATAAGACTCGAATATGAAACTTTTGGGGGCTTGAGAATATTTTTCATATTCGTTTTGACCGTGGTATATCGAACCGTCATATTTTGAATTTAAATGACATGCACTTTAGAAGGGGAACATATTCTGAATAAACATGGTCTTGGAGTAACAAGTTGAGGTGAAGTTAATGGCAGATTAACAAATTAACGAGCAGATAGTTTACGCAAATAATTGAAAGCTTTCTGCACATGCTTTAGAGATTCCAAGCTTTTCTTTTTCTTCCATCGGTAGAATACAATCTGTATCTTTTCCTTTCTCCCATCACACCCAGAGAGAGAGAGAGGAGAGAAGAGGAGGAAAAAAAAATAAAATTTAGATGTGCTTAAAGGAATCTCTTTTCCTTTTTCTTTTTGCTCTCCTTTTAATATTTTTACTAGCGTTGTACTCAAGACATTCTCCCCCTGAGTCAGGGCGTGAATTCTCGATCCCATAAATAATTAGGAGATATTTCCCGTGGATTTGCGTGAATTCGATCTAGTGCTCCTTTGCACGAACTGCCTCTGGTTTCGTCCTTATAAAAACACTGAAAATCTCCTAGCAAAAACTCACATTTCTCCCTAAATATTTAGCCTGCAAATATAACTGTTTTCTCTTATTCTTTTCATTATTACTTTTTTTGATTTGGGGACAATTCTCTTTGTCATTAGGGACAATTCTCTTTGTCATTAGCGAACGGAAAAGGGAAAAAAAAGGAAAAGAGGATATGTGATTGGACTTGGATACCTGAGTGAAACCAAGAGAATTTTCCTCGAGATTGGAGACAGCAGCAGTTTTCTTTGTCCTTGGATTTTTGAACGGCACGAGGGGGGGAGGAGGACGGTTAAAATATTATCGGGTCGGGTTGTGTAGAGGCAGAAGACCCGGAGAAAAAGCGGATTTTCTCGGCATTTGGAGCCCGATTAAAGGCGGCGATCCGCATCTTGGACCCTGATCCGCCACGCAGATTCCGTATCACCACGGCCACCGTAAAAAATATTTTTTACCCCAGGCTTTCCTTTATCTTTTTACCGCTTCTTTGGGCATTGCTATTTGCTAATACTTTGCTACTCCATCTGTGCCGTTTTTAAGTGCAGCCATAGTTTTTCGAGTTAAACTTTAACCGTCTGTCTTATTTAATTTTTTTTTTGAAAAAAATTAAAAACATAAGTTACGAGTAAACTATTCATGTTTTAACATCTCATAACAAAAATACTAATTATAAAAAATCTTTAAATAAGACGAACGATTAAAATTAGACACGAAAACTTATGGTTGCATTTAAAATAGAACGGATGGAGTATAGTGTACTACCCTACCTGGTTTGATTCCAGGATAGACGGTAAAAAAAAAAAATCTAGCCTCTTCATAACCCAGTCAGTCACCCAGATCAAACAAAGCTCTCACAAATTTCTTTTCACCCAGGCTTTCCTTTTTCTTTTTACCGCTTTCTTTTCACCCTATGGTCTTTGACATGCCTCTGGTCTCGATTCCAGGTTAGGCAGTAAAAATTTTAGCCTCCTTGTACACCCAATCAGCCAGATCAAACACAGCTCGAAGGACAAAAATAAAGGGACAGTTTGGACCACATTGAAATGCTCTCTGTAAGGCCCACTTGAAATACATGAAATTTCTTATGTTTATGTAGAGATGAAAATACTGCTTTCTGTAAATTTTCTATCAAATCCTTGTGAAATTCCTAGTTCAACTAAGTTTTTTTTTTAATAATTCCCTCATGTTATCTTCATGTGGAATAGAACCACCTGTGGTCATAATAATTACTCAACTACTGTTTGTGACATTTTCCTAAAACTGATGTGATATTGAGATACTCATATGCCATTTGGATTTCTAGTTGAAAGCACATGCTACCTACATGAAAGCATGGAAATGAATTTCATATGATAATGCAGCTATTTCGTTGCTTATCTAATGGCTTTCTCCTAGTTCCCAGTACAGTAGTATACTTGGGCACAGCTTAGGAATAGATTTCCTAGCATATATAATAGCCCTCACTGAGATTTTAGCTAGACAAGCTGGTCCTTTCCAGAATCTGACTAAAAGGTACTACTCAACAATATGCCAATATGCATTTCTGATGGATTTAATCACAAGGAAATGACAAAAACAAGCTTAGTATTTATTATTTTTTCCACCTGTATTCCTTGCAATGATACCGTATTAATACGGATGCATCAAACATGGTCGACCAAACCAGAAAGGAAGGCAGCAGGCTAGCAGCTTGACAGCTGCAAGCCAACTCACTATTCAATGCTGGTCCACATGGCACTTGTCAAGACCACATATACTTTCTCTCAAATCAAAACCCAAAAAAGAGAGAGACCCCCCTCTCAGGAGAAGAGGAAATACTCTGTTTGCAAACATAAGAAAATGGAAAGAGACGATAACCAAAAGCTAAAAAAGCTAGAGCTTGTCCTATCCCACTACCAACCACTTACCTGGGTCTGACGTGTCATGGCCTGGATATGCACACCTTTTGTGTTATTCTAAGCCAAATCACCCATCCATGCTACCATTTGGCCTCCCCAGATTTGCAAAACTATTCTATGGTGATCTTATCAAACACCCCCCTCCCTCTCCTCCTTTTGAACACCCAACATACACAGCCTTTTGTTATTCTAACCCATCACCAATCCCTCCTTTTACTGGACAATCAGCTTTTGTTAATAATACCACCAAAATCCCACTTTTCCTCCACTTGATAATGGTGGTGCCCAAATGCAACGGCTTTGTGTTTTAATCAAGGTTATCAGGGAGCACTAGGCATATTTAAGATGTAAATTGGCAAGGAAAAGCATCAGGCATGGCAGGTAATGCAATGGAATTGGAGGGGAGCCAGGATGACCTACCATGCAGGCCACTACCACTACGGAAAAAGGGTGTCAACGAACAAATTCCGAGACACTGCCTGCCCTGGAAACGAATGGTGTCTGAATTGATCACTAACTGCAGTGGAAAACATAGTTGGCATATCATTGCAAGATCTCCACAGGTGTGGTAACATTCCGTAATTCAAGAGGTGACATATGGTAGTAAGATGCAAATCATAATCCTGCCCACCCCCACCCTACCCTAAAGTATACTGTCCTTGATTGGATGGGTACAAGTAAACTCATAGAATAAAACAAGCTTGAAGATACCCCCTGAAGTGATTGCTGCCGCACAACTGTCCGGTTCATTCATCTGGTTCGTCGACAAAAGGGAATTGGCGCTTTCTTTTTGAGACAGCTGGGATAGATGATGGGTCCTGCGACAGTATGCATTCAGTTAACAGGTGTTCTATTGATGGTGAAGAGAAAAAGACAGTGAAAGTAATCTCTGGCTGACTTACATCTAGATAGGTATTCAATCAGTCGCCTGTCAAGGTCGAAGTGCTGGCAGAGAAGTTTCTGTAAGAGAAGTTATAAGAATAATATTAACAATCCCCCACAAAAAGCAATACCACAAAATTGGACCACATCAGCAGTACTTGATACAGTCAATTTTTCACACTTAGGTTATTGAGGACGACTCGATAGCTAACTGATGTTTCAGGAATTCTATCATTGGTGGCTTCAATAAATTTGTCACGTCAGTTCTCACTATTTCGATTGAAGTACAGTGCCAGGTAACCAACCTGGATGTTTTGGCCAAACCAAAAAGGAACTGTGTTGTCATACTGTACTGCATATGATCCTCTCTCGCACCTTTTTTTAGGCTGGCCATTTCATTTTATTTTTATCGGTTCCACCCATTTCAATAAGTGGGAGATATGTTTCTCTAAGCACCATTATCCTGTCACACTAGCTAATCTCCTATGTGTGTCTTCTTTCATTTCTTTTCAGGAACAATGGTTTCCTATTTCCCCTTCAACTGGAATAATTGGCCGTATGAAAAGTATATTTAGTGCAAAAGCTGCCTCCCGCCCTGCCCCAGTATGCACACATAAAGAAATGAAATGAAATGAGAAGAAAATGTGGATGCGCATATAAATTACCCTACTTATTATAACATTTCAAGTTCAGTTCCATTTGTTACTTTCTGTAGAATTTATCACATTTGTTACTAGTAAGTACTAGCATCATACTTTGAATTTGAACTTCAAATTTAAAGGGTGATGCAACACACC